CACGCACACAAGATTTTTCTCCCTGTTAGAATTCAGAACTTGAATTCAGACGCTCCGTCTGCTGCCTGCGGCCCATCGGCTTGCTCAGCCTCTCCTTGTATCTCCCACCAGGAGCATTTCGGGAACTCCCGCCTTCACCCTGCAGCCCCGCGAGCTTTCAGTTCAAACTTGGGTTTCTACAGCACTTCTACTTTTATAACAAAGACATTGTGAAGATGATGTTAGGAGATGGACAGACCTTTTCTTTGCCATTTCCTGAAGCATGTCTGGAATCAATTTCCTGACTGCATGCTTCAGGTCACTGTCTGCATCCCTCTGGCCATAATTTCCATCATCTTCTTCGGATCTGGCAGACTTAGTGCAGAGCATAGGAAGCCTTCCGCATCTGACTGCTGCATTTGCAAATCAAAGCAGCACAGAGAGGATGAAGCGCGTAACCCCAGAGCCTTGCAGCAACATGAACTTCAGCCCGCACCTTCTCAAACAGATACTGTTTACTGTGGAGCACACATTTTGTCCCTAGCCAGATCCATGCCGTGGAAGTCAGGCAGTGTTTACCATAAGCACCCGTAGTAACTAGCGTATAGCTTCAGTCTCCTAAATGCAGATTCATCACTCTGCCAGTCAGCAAGGCTCACTTCAAACACACAACCCTTGAAGAGGTCAGAAGCGATTTCGGTTACTTAAATCATTGTGACTGGTGCTTTTCCAGTCTTTACTGCATTGAACACAGCTGGGACTTTCATTTTATACAATCTTTCTAACAAATGCATGAACGTTTTCATCTCAGCTCCCCTTTTGCTGCCTCTTATAAAGCACTTGTTCTTGCCAACCACTGTGGTGCTGCTCAGAGATTTTAAAAGGTGGAAAATACAACTCTCATTCTCAAAAATTTAGGTCTATGGGGCATAAGTGATGCAAGCATAAATAGCACGGCAAACAAGGTTTCCCTGAAAAGGGAATATTTAATAAAGTAGAAGGTTTTGAGCCAAGAAACAATGTAATTTGCCTAACTTCTTAGCATTACCAATCTGGGTATTGGAAATAGACTGAAAGAGGCAAGAGAATAACAGGGAAACTAGAACAAGCCAAATGAAAGATGCTAGAGGTGAAATAGCATCCTGTGGCTGTGAACTTGGTGCTTCAAAACAACACGTTTATTCTCTTACAGCTCTGGAAGCCAAATGCATGCAATAGGTTTCACTGAGCCCAAACCTAGTGTTGGCAGTGTGCTACCCTCCACAGAGGCTTGTGGGAATCTGCTTCCTTGACTTTTCTAGATTTGTAGAGCTACATTTCTTGTTTTCTTGTACTGATGGCCCCTTCCTCCATCCTCAGGGCCAGCAGTACAGCATCTTCAAAGCACTCTCTGCTCAGTCTTTACATCACCTTCTCTCTTCCACGTCAAACTTCTCCCTTGCTGCCCTTCTTAAGCACACTTGTTTTTGCATTAGGGCCTGCCCAGATCACCAGGCCAACCTCAAGATTCACAGTCACATCTGAAAAGTCTCTTTCCATACAGATTAGTCACAAGTCCTAGAGCTCTGGACCGGGACCCTTTGCAGGCCATTATCCAGAGGAGGCTTGAACGAAGGTAAACATGAGAAGTGTCCAGAGTCTTACATTTGTTTTGAAGATAGAGATAATTGGATTACATGATGGGCTGGATGTAGGATGTGAGAAAAGAGAGGAAAGAAGAACATGCTTCGAGCATTACTTCGAGCCATTAAAAGAAATGAAAATAAAAAGGAAACAAAGAAAGAAAGTTATTTATTTATTTATTTATTTATTTATTTATTTATTTTGGAGGGAGGATTGGCTACCATGTTAGGAAGTCCAGGCCTCAAATGTATTAAGTCTGTGTGTCCCATCCAAGTGGCATATTAAGAAGACAACTAATGTATGAATTCAGGAAATAAGTGTATTCTGGAAATATTGATTTGACAGTCATTAGTGTATCTTTAAAGTCTTTAAATGGGATGAAATCATTAGAGGCACGAATGTAAACAGAAAAGAGATCCAGGGATTGAGGTCTAGTGGAGTTCAGTGATTCATGGTCAGAGAGAAGAGGCAGAATCTGTAGACAGAGACCAAAAAGAAGAAAATGCAGAGATAAGTGGAGGAACAGGAGAGGATGCCACTGGAGCCTTGGTGATGAGAGAGAGAAGCAGGAGTTGGGTGGAGAGCTAAGCTACTGAGTAGCGCGGGTACCTTGGGACCGAGGACACACTTCACCAGCTCTACGTCCACGCCTCTTCCCACCCACACACCCTCTAGCATAAAAATGAAGCCACTGCCCTAGTGTCGGGGCAGAGGTACAGAGAGGATCTTCTGTCTCCGACCTGAAGCACTGCAGAGAGGCTGCTGAAGCTGTGAATCTTGTCTCAAGGCCCCTGTCTCCCTCACTCAATTAGTGATTTCCAGGGACAAGCCTGTCACCTATGTGTAGAAAAGAGAAATAAGCAGCAAGGTCTCCATCTGCCTGCCAGCCACTGAGCACCTGGCACCACGACTGATTGGGTGTCACATCGTCAGATCCTGAGTGGAGAGCAGCAGCTAGCTGCACAGATGTTACCTGCAGGGCAGTGTCCTGTGAGGGCTCACTGCTGTTCTGAGCCATTTACAGTGCAAACACTCACATCTCATATGCAAAACATCCATCACACTCTCAGAGTCAGCTGGAAGGCTGACCCTACACTATGCAGTCTACACCAAACTCTCTCAAAACATCTACATAACCAGGCAGCTTAGGAGTCTTCATGTGCACCTGCTTAAATGAATTCTGGTTTGTCTTCTCCCCTCCCTCCTCTCCTCCTGTTCTTTCTTCTCCTTTCTACCTCTTTCTCTGCCATTCCAGTTTCTTCCATTTTAATTCAGAACAATGACTTTCAAACTTGGTTGTATGTTGGAATTGCTTGGAGAATTTTTAAAAACACTGATGTTTGGGTCCCATTCTGAAAGAATCTGGTTTTAAGTGACCTTGAAAGCGAGCTGGGTTTGGAGAATGCTTTTTAAAGCCCCTTAGCTAATGTGCAGACATGTTTGAGAATCAGTTACTGTATAACTGCTTTCATTACACATGACACTATGATCCACATGATGGCCTGAAATTCTTGCCTGCAATTTCCATGGCTTCATAGCCGCCGTAAGATTTGGAACCTCTACATTCCCCGGAAAAGACTTTCAATAACCACACTTCTTATGTCTGACTACACCAGACATAAGAAATGATGTGCCACAGGGCTAGAGAGGAGAGGAAAAGATGAAATGGCGAATACTGAGAAGCCCAGTGCAAAAGTAAAAGCTGTGGTGAGAGGCTCCTACTACCGCCTTGTCCTTCTCTAACATTCCCAGTTGATGGAACAAAGGATTCGGTGCCAGGTTCCTGGCTCGAACGCCTCCAATAGATGCAGTGCATTGTGGAGTGCTTTGTAGCTTCCAAATGGCATGATACAATGGGACTCTGATACGTTACACCTCACTTTTAAGTGCTCTCCACAGCTTCCTCCTGGAGCACTCAAGGCCTTATTTCAGCACCTGAAATTCCAGTTCATTTCTAGGTTTAGCTATAAGCAAGAGGAAAAGTCGAGTAAAAATGAATGGAAATATTGGAGAATTGTGGGAGGAAATCTAGATTCGTTGCTCGCAAAGCAGACTTTGCTCAAGGAGCTGTATTTACTTGGAAGCAAGCTATTTCCTTTTCCCTTCTCCCATCTGAGATCCAAAATTGGAAAGAGCTACAGGGAAACGTGTTCAGGCTAGAATCAAGTCTATCAAATGCCAACATTTCTTGGCTCCTTGAAAATAAAAATTGGCCCAAGTTTCCAGAAAGCAATTTGGTAGTATGTCTTAAGAGTTTGAAATATGTTCGTATCACATCCTTTTACCCAGTTATTTAACATTTTATTTTAAGGAAACAACCAGAGATCTGATAAAAGATTTATGTGTAAAGATCATCAAAGTGTTTATGCATAATTGCAAAAAATCAGAAGACACTGTGTGCTTTCTACCATATAGAAAGCCAGTCTTTCTACTAGCTTATTCTGCTGTGGAATATTATGCTATAGCAAACCATAAAATATATCAATTGTTAAAACTTTTGTTTTTAAATAATTTTTATGATGTGAGCAAATGCACATATCATGCTACATGAAAAAAGTATAGGTAAAAATTTACTTCTTTTGTAGTTCAATCCTCTTGCGAATACATAAACCTAGTAGAGGGGAAGATACTGGACAGAAATATACTAAAATGTTAACAATGTTTACTTGGAAGGTGTGGTTCTGATTAATTTTCTCCCAGATTTTCCAAGCTCATGTTACCTCTATTATCAGAAAAATGTAGTGAAAATGTATTTTTTTTTTCAAAGAAAAGGATATGCTATGTCTTACTGAGGCACCAAGCTTCACTAGGGGATGATCTCAAAAGTAATCCCAGTTATAATCACCACCATCCTGTCACTGCTTGTGCACAGTGACGATTCCAAGCACAGCTGTACTCATGACTGCTCTTGATTCCACAGCAGCTTTGGTGTGGGTGAGCCTGGGGAGCACGTCAGTCCTCTCATGAGTCCAGTTTGGGAAATAATGGTATCTCTCTCACTTATGAGGGTGTCTGCTGGGTAGGACTATGTGTCAATCATGTTATTCTGCAGCCTTGTGAACTCAATAGCTGTCTTAGGAATCAAAGAGGTCTTGCTCAGACATGCAAGAGTGCATTTATTCATTTAGTCTATGTATGTACTTATTCAGCATCTTCTGTGTGCCAGGCAAGATTCTCACTCATTCTACTAATGCTCTTAGGGCTTGTTACTGAAAGTTGCTGACTCATGGAGCTGAGCAGGCAAGTTGAGAACTAAAAGTTCAAGTTCCACATGAAAGAATGGAAGATAGCTCGACCCTACTTGGTGGGTGATTTGGGTCATAGGTTTTATCAAAGGGCTCTCTCTCTCTCTCTCTCTCTCTCTCTCTCTCTCTTACTCTACCTCTCTCTCTCTCCAGATGGAAGTGATTGTTGGGGACTTCGGGATTGTGGTAGTGCCCAGAGATGCAGCTGACACAGACCGAATTATGAATCACTCCTCAATACTCCGCAAATACAAAGTGAGCCTTGTACCTCTCTCCCTGCTTGTGTATCTGTGTGGTGGCTTTTCTCTTGAGAGTCCTGGGAGGGCTGGAGAAGTGCGAGAACAAAAGAAATTTAATGAGAGATGCTGGCAGCCTACTTTCTCTGTTCTGTTTCCAGAACAACATCATGGTGGTGAAGGATGACATCAACCATCCCATGTCTGTTGTCAGTTCAACCAAGAGCAGGTATGTTTGACAAATGGCCAGAGAGACTGGTCACACTGGCTTACCACTCTCCGTGTAGTTTTCCATAGCCAAAGGCTTAGAGGACACATCAAGAGGTCTCTTGCTGACCTAGTATTCAGCTTCCCTGTTTGGATTCATTTATTTGTCCCTAACCTTGTCACTTACCTTCAAAAGAGAAAATAGAACATTAGCTAATCTTAGCTAGTTTGAGAGGAAATAGGATGTTTTTAGTTGTTTATTTTAGTGTGAGATCCTACAAGATAATGTATTAATAAAGATACAGGCCAAGCTGCCATAACAAAAAGATCCTGATATATAGAGTTTTTATAAGGTAGGTGTTTAGTTCCTTCCTGTGAAAGTCCAAAGGAAGTGAATCTCTGGTCTCTTCAGTATGAAGCTTCCATCTCCGGCTCCACAGCAGCTGCTGTGACTGTTCTCAACAGCAGGAGGAGAAAACCTGACGCAAGAAGCTTTGTTTTCAGAAGTTGCTTGTATTGCTTCCCCTTGCATTCCACGGGCTCAGCGATGATGGAGGCTAGGAAATAGGATTTATCACTTGGCAGTCATTTATCCAGATAAAGGAAGAGGCTGTATTACTAACCCAAAGAGGAGATGATTACCAGGAGCCAGTTAACATCTCCACCACAAACCCCAGTGGAAATGTCCAGTGCTATGGTGAGATATTTAGGATATGGAGGTTTGGAAATATAAAACTGAGGGCCATTGGAAGTGTTATTCCCAGTGTGGATGAGCTCACAGAGAGTGTCAAGAAGAGAGAAAGAGAAAGCATCTATAAAGAACACTGTAAGCATGCTAGCATTTTGAGAAGATTAAGGGGTAGTCACCACCCCTGGCAATGACAGCTCAGGAACTAAGGCAGAGTAGCTCCCAATATGGAAAGCGTTGTCATCTGTGTCACATATCGAGAAATCTAGTAAATCCCTGACTTAAAAGTCTACTGGACTTCATTCCAGAAAGGCAATTATGAAGACACTTATAAGGGTGGAAACAACTGGGAAATGAGGGCAGAAGCCCAAAGACGCTGGAAAATGAGTGGACATGGAGGAAAGAGTGTGGTTCCAAACATGACAGCACCTTAGGTGCACCCTGTTACACATGGATCCGAATTCCCATGACCACTGAATCAGAATGTTCTCAGCTTGGGCTTAGGAATGTGCCTCCCAGATGAGTCTGATGAAGTTGGAATTGGTGGGAACCACCTAGATATGTTTATGAAGTGTTTTATGTGCAAGGTAACCCTTGGGACCGGCCTTATAAGGTCAGGACAGTGTGTGTGTTGAAAATGAACCAGTCTCCAGGGAGATCTCACAGGGCAGGGCTCTGAGGCCTTTTAGAATCTAGATATCTGGAGGAGTATACGTCTTTTCACAAATAGCTCCTTAGAGTCTAACATTCCCAAGACTATCATAGACGCAGAGACAAGAAGCAGCTAGAGACACAATGAAGAAAACTGTGTAAACTAAGTTTATCTCTGGAACCTTCATACCTGCCAGAGCTTTCCCTCCACGGGCTTCCAGCCAAAGGCTCCTATAGGAAAAAGCTGTGGTCAGTCATAAGAATCTCCTGGGAGACTGATTTTTGTGACAGCAGCATGCAAAGAAACACAAGAGATGGATAAGTGTATCTTAAATATACACGTAGAAAAGTATATTTTAAAAAAACCAGGTAATATATTAAAATGCCTAGTGTGGTTATTAACATTCTTGCATAATGACTCTTTTAATCTTCTTAATAGCTGAGTAGAATTGACTTAAATATCACTTCCTTTTAGAGAAGCGGGACTAAAGAACAGTGAGTCTTCAATAACTTGCCCAGGGTCTCTCACTGTGGCAGAGTCACAATGTCCCTGGTTTGGGGGAAGATCTGTGGAAGGAAGAGGGCACTTCCTAATGGCAATACTGTTTACTCAATCTAAGCAAAGGATGGTGATGGGGTGTTGGGGAGACACCTGTAAGTGTTTCCCCCGAAAGACAGAGTGCAGGCCAGTACCACTGTCTTGCGTCAGTTTCAAGCATGGCTGTTTCTCAGATTGACATCTCTTTTCCTGCAGGCTGGCCCTGCAGCACGGGGATGGCCATGTCGTGGATTACCTGTCCCAACCAGTCATCGACTACATCCTCAAGAGCCAGCTGTACATCAACGCCTCTGGCTAGCAGCCGCTCAGCTGTCTGCTCCACTCTCCCCTCGTCCTCTGCCGACACATCGGCCCCTCCAATCTCTGTGGGTCCCCCAGTCTCTCTCCTGCCTCTGTTTCTCCATCTTCTCATCTTGACTGTTCTCTCTACTGCTGACTTAACCCCCCACAGTGTGGGGGACCTGCATTCCCCATTCCACAGTCATCTTTGGACAAACTTTCCTCTAGTCTCTGGGTTGGGGGTGGGAGAGGGAATAGGGATTAGGGATGGGAGTTGGGGGAAGTGCAGTCCTTGGAGATGTACTGATACTCATTTCCCAGCATGCTCTAGAGAGGCGGCTCTGGGGCCCATCCTCCCAGCGTGTTCTGTGGAGGCGGCTCTGGCTCTCGCCTTCCCAGCATGCCCTTTAGCACAAAGGGCTATTTTTTTTCTTTCTATTTATTTATTTTTCCTGTTCACTTCTTGTAGAATTTGGATGAAATCAGTGTCTATGGTTCTTTACGTTTGTAGTAGTCCTAATGCACTCCTGTGGTATGACTTCCCTTCCGGTAGGACACTGTAGCCAGCCTCAGCACTTGGGAAGTGCGTGAGGGCCATGCCCAGCAGGGAAGGCTGAGCCACCTCCACTTCCCCCACACACGTCTACACACAGCAGCAGCAGCAGCAGCAGCAGCAGCAGCAGCAGCAACAACCTTTAGTCAGGAGTCAGATTTCCAGGTTCCAAAACCTGTAAATGAATGCTGGAATGGTAGGGCTTCTCAGACTTTGAGTTCATCCCCTTAGTTTCAAAAGACCAGTTTCCTGATGCCTTAGAGCTATAATTACACAGAGCCAGTCTGTACTCATTTCAGTACATTGATCTACATGGGCTGTGGCCAGTTGTCATTGTGTGGGTTTCAAATGTCAGCCCAGGAGCCTCAGCCGTTGGATACCATGCTTAGACCTGTTCTTGCATCTGAGAAAAATCACATAGGCAAAGCCAAAAATCCTGATAACCAAGGGTGTTTTTTTTTTTGTTTTTTTTTTTTTTTGTCTAAAAAAAATGCTAGGAATTCACTCAACCCTCAAGATCTTCACTAATTAGAATTATTTATTGCCCACTTGGCTCGGGATTGTCTCTGTCATAATGGAAGTCCAAAATAATCTAGGAGAAATTTGTTGCCTTGAAAAGAACTGATCTGTCTCAGTCACTCCTTAGGTTGTGTTGAAGTCCAGTTTTTTTTTGAGAAACAGTACCTGGTTTGTGGGCCTGGTCCCAACTCCTGCACAGCCCAAGGAGACCCTCCTGATGAGGGAATGGATTCAAAAAAGAGAGATCGCAAAGGCATCAGGAGCCACTGAGCTATTTCACTCATTTCTCCTTCATTCTTTTCTTCCTCTCTGGCCCTGGAGAAGCATTCGATAGATTATGTTCTGCATATTAAGCCTTCCCTCATGTCCTTCTTAGGGAGCTCAAAAGAAATGACTCTCTTTGTATCTCTCATGCAGTCTCTGGCTGTTGGGTTTCTGGTTGTCCTCAGTGGAATAGTCCCCAGGTATCTGGTGTGAACTGTGGTCCAAGTGGGGCTGGAAAGTAGGGACAACAGTGATTGCCACTCATGTCACATCTTCAGCATTTTTCAGTTGTCTCCAGGAAAGAGAAGTGAAGTCAACAGGAAAACATGACAGAGGAGCATCCCAAAGGGTGTTGTGTCTCTTGGATTATAAAAATAATCTTCAGAGAAAGGAAGGAAAACCTTATTTTGGGGCCTCAGAGTCTGGCTAGGAATCGTGGACTAATGAACAGGGGGGAAAAATGTTTAGAGGTCACTTGCTCCAACATTGTCCTTTATAGGCAAAGGAGCAGAAATCTGTGGGTTAAATTGCTGGTCCCAGGCCACACATCAGGTGCAGAAACAAAAGGGTGAAACAAAAAAAGACAGGGAGCTGCAATTCCTAGAGAAAAAAGGTGTTTGGGGAGTTTATGGACAAGGTTTATGAGATCCTGCATGAGCAGACCTGAGAAAGACTGTAGATTCCTTCTGTTCCTTTGGTCCACTCTATTATTCTGCTGGATGCTGGTCAGACCCCATTTAGTCCACGGACCCTGGGAGGGCCTGAGCTGGCTCTTCACCCTCTGTGTGGGGAGGACGGAATGTGGGAGCTGGGAGGGAGAGTGAGGGGAGTGAAGAGGGGCAAGCGAAGTCGGTTTTTCAGAATGAATGTGGCAGGTCATATGCAGGTATAGCACAGGGGTGGGTTAAACACAGCTTCCCTTTAATGACAGGAAAGTGAATTCCCTTTCAGGTAGAAATCCTGTTTCCCACTGTCCTCCATTCTGCCGTTGCTGGAGGAAGATCAGAGTACCTTTCAGAATCCAGGGCAGGGCATGGACTGTGACCAGCAATAGCCAATGCCAGAAAGATGGTTCACAATTTTAAATGGTAGCCCAGGTGCCACCAGATGGCCTCTAGGCATAACTCCCTTCCGGGGCCCTGCTCCTTCGGTTCAAGGCCAACCCATGCCCAGCATGGCCGAGAGAGGGCGAAAGTATGAACTGGAATGATCATGTCAAGAGAGGTCTGAAACCTCATTTCCTGCAACTGATAGAAAAAGATCTTTTCCATTTTTCTGAATGTGGCTGATGAAAGAACAGCCAGGAGGAAAGCCCTTTGTGCTGGTGATGCTCTCCTCAAGAAACGGGCTCCAGGGCGTTCTGTGCTGCGAGCAGGTACCTCAGTCACACACATCCCAGCCCCAGGCCGCTGCTGGGCCTTTAGCTTTCATTCTCCTTGCATGTCTGTGGGATCAGGGAAGAAAGTCTCTTACTGAAGTGCCTGAAACCAGAGCTAGAGCTTCTCGAGATGCGGGTCTTCCTGTCTCCTGTCTCGGCGTGGCTAGCCTTTCCCCAGCAGGCTCTAGTCTCAAGCTCCAGCTTCTCAGAAAGAATTAAAGAACTTGCTGTTCAAATTAAGTTGAAAGTAAGACTAAATAGTCAAAGTACAGCAAAAGGCAGAGAATTACAGGGAGAAACTCGTACTACTGTCCAAATCTACTCTCCCCAAATTGATACATACACACACTTTTTGGGAACTAAAGAGAGAAGCATATTGTGTATCTTTTATTCATCAAAAGAGTAACGCAAAAACAAAACTGCAGAGTATGAAAAGCTCAGGATCTCTCCCAAGGATACAGCAAGGGAGCCAACAGGTGAGATGGGAAGGAAGGAGGGACTGATTTTGTAGCTCAGATACTTAGGACACCTTAGAAGTAGCATCTTGTGATGATGAACATGCTCTGCCAAATTCACCCAGTTTGCACCTCCCTGTAGCTGCCCAGTAAACTCCACTCTTCATGTGTAGTGTAAATTTGGAGTGTCCCAGGGTCTGTCCAGTTAGTTAGAAATGAGTTACAGCTCTTTCCCTCTACCTTCCGTTGAGTCTCTGGGCCCAGAACTCAACTTGAGCTTCTTGGCCCCTTGGGTTGGCATAGAAAGGAGGAAACATTTTTAGAATCATTTTTTTGGATCATATAATTTGCCATTTTAAGAGTAAAATTTGTGTTCTGGAAAACAATTAATGAATAAAAACTACATTCGAGTTGCAATACCATTTCACAGTGAAATATTTTGAGTAAAATTTTGTTGCTAGGATAGTCATGGACAAGAGTTTTATCAGCAAAATGTTTCAATTATGTTAATAAACAAGACAATGCTACTGGAGTGGTGTGTCTCTGGTCCTTCTCTGTGGGTTCTTCTGAGAAGTAACACTTTTTTCCTTTATTTTACTTGACAGAAGATAACAAGTGTAAAAATATACTTAGAAGAGGAGATTTCCTGCCTGGTTCAGTGGATGCCACAAGTATAATGTAAAAGTATTTATAACCACACCCAGGAACTACAAAAGAAAAAATAACTTGCAAATTTTTAAGTGATACCTAAGTTTTTTCAGGCTATGAATACTAGATCTTAGGTCAGGACTAGCCCACACCATCTGGCCTTGGTTAACTTTGGGTCTTTACTGAAACTAACACTGTATTAAATAAAATTATATTTGCTAAAATATATGAAAGATCCTAAGAAAGAAATTGTTAAACTCACCATTTGTTTTGCAATGTAAATGAGCACAAATTAATGGTATGTTAATTGTTCAATCCTGCTGTAGTTAATAGCTCTTATTTCATCTTTAGTCATCACATATACCCTGCATTGGTTTAGCTCTAGACAGTGACTGTCATTAGCTAATCATTAATCAGGATTCAGAAAATTAAGCAGCACTTGCCTATTAGATCAGTTCAATGAGGAGTAAGACAGTCATAGGGTTAGATACTTATTTATTGGAATACATTTTGGGTTCTTGTTTTGTTTCTTAGTTATTTTGATTCTTAAGATTCTTAGTATTTTCTTCACTAAAATTAGCCAGCTTGGTGTGCACCCTTGTGGATTGTGTGGTGAATCACAATAATGTTTGATATACCTTGTAAATCTATCACTTAAATTTGTATTACTGGTTTGTTTACAAAGCTAAATACTGTTTTTTCCTGTCCTATGAGTGCATAATAATGAAAGTATGTTTAAAATTGAATATAAACACTGGCTTAGTTTGCTAATTTATATTAACAAAAATATACATAATAAATATAAATTAATATTCACAAACACACACATTTCTTATAGCCATGAATAAGCATCAGACCTTGAGATTTCCTAAATCCCACATGGCCAATAGCATATAGTATAAAAATATTCTAATCTCTGTTTTCCAAGTAGGAAAATCAATCCACAGCAAGAATCTATAACATTCCCATGACCATGCAAAACATTCAAAGAAGACGCGATAAACATATCCCTGGGTCCTTGAGACTTTGGCCCAAACACTGGACGGTGTACTTAGTACCTCCTTACCCTTCCTTCTAGCCTCCAAAGAGTACTAAAAAGAAACTATATCCTAGGATAAAATGAGAAATACAGTTGCTAAAAAGTTATAGTCTATGTGCTTTTCATTTCTACCCCTCTCATCTACAGTGAATCAAAGAAAATGATAGTGAGGGTGTAATAGCATCCCCAAAGCACAGTGAATCAGAAAACTCTGAGAGGAGACATAGAACGTTGTCATTATAGTGATAAGAAATTAGTGATAAGAAGCCAGGAGAGCCCCTTAATTTGGCAGGGTCAGGTCAAGGCTGGCACCAGGAGCTTCAGTAAGCTCTCTCTACACCACATCGCCTTCCTTTCTCTCAGGGTTAATTTGTAAAGTCCTTAGAAATAAGGGGACCCTTTCTTTACTAAACGAGTTCCAATAGCCATTTTCCATCCCCCCTCCCAACTCAGGTTCATGTTCTATCTGTCAAAAAGGACATTCTTAAGATTTTCTTATTAATCTATCCCACTGAGGGACCCTTTTATAGCTGCATGTACCATGCTTTATATAGTTGTGAGACCCCTCGTCAGGTTCCCTAGAACATGTACTGTCTAATCCGATGCTTAGTAGAGATGGCCAATCACCAACAATGCCACTTCCATTTAGTAATGAAGAATTGTCCCTGGGCAACAGCTTTCCACCGAAGGACTTGGTGGCACAGATGAGTTCTAGACCCCTCTTAAGTTAAATATGATCATAATAATGGGTTTTGAACAAATGGCACATAAGATCTCCCAGAGCTGGCCACAAAGACCTCTCTTGGTGCCTCCATCATCCACGATCCTCTCCCTTACCCAGCTGAGTGGTGACAATCCCTCTCTCACACCAAATACAACCTCAGAAACCACTTGTTATAAATGACAGGGCCTCCTTGTGAGGGCCATCCTGCCAGCCTGTTCTCCATCCAGTTATCAAAGGACAAAGAAACATTGGTCTGTGTGTTTAACTTATGGAATATTTTAAGGTCTTCATGACACAGCAGTTACTTTAATTAATATATATACATTTCTCTGGACATTAGTTAATTACAACAGGAAATTTATAGGATGTATGATTTAATATGCCAAGACAGAGTTATGAAATGACTTCTACAAAAAAGACAAAGGGATCAGATCTATCAGAATTTAGGGGTCAACGTGGACAGGAGCAGAATGCTTTCCTCAATCCCCTGAGCAGATAGCCAAGGGATTTTGCTTTATCTAATTTTAACTAATTAAAAGTGTGACATATGTGCAACAAGCTATCGATCTTACCTTTATTTTATATGGTGAAAGAATAGTAATTATACTCCCAAGAATATTTTTTATACTCTCAATCCAGCTTGGACTGCTCTAGAAAAAAATATTCCTTATGTTTAAGACACAGCAACAGCTAAAAAAATCTCAAGGTGCTCTTGTAGTTGGAAAGAGCAAAATAATATACTCAGAAACAGGAAATAAAGATGCTAACCCTAAGCTTCTCCTCTGTCTCTCTGTCTGTCTCTCTCTCCTCTCTCCTCTCTCTTTTCAATGCTGGGGATGGAATTCAGCACCTCCAGTCCACTCCAGCAGCGCTTGCATTTCCACTGTTTTTGTACTTTCATCTTAGAGTTTAGTAAAAATCAGGAACTGGTCCTAGGCATCTAACAATTGCTCTTTATTTAAAAACACGTCCATGAAAAGCCAAGGAAATAAAGAAGAGAGCTGCAGGAAAGTTCCCAGCTGAGGTGAAAGTGCCTCTGGCTCCTTCAGCAATTCCCGCTGGTCATCATGACTCAACAGTCTGTCGCAATCCGCCGTGGCCTTGGCCGGGGTGGAGGAACAGCTGCAGCGCACAGCTCAGAGCGGGGTCAGCTTTGTCCCGACTCAAGTGCCCCTGTGGGACTCTCTTGCAACACAGGTTCTGTTGAGAAAAGAGGTTGCAAACTAAAGGGTAACTGGAGGAACTACCACTCATGATGAATGAATTTGTCAGACTTAAATTTTATTGTTTTTAATGTCAGTCTTCCTCACCAGACAGTCAAACACGTAAGAGCATTTCTGTTCTGGCACACAACACAGACTCAATAAATGTATGTTGAAAGTGTGGATGGAAGGATGGATTCTACCCAGCTCAAGTGCAGTTGGGGACATTTTCTGCTACAGGGAGAGAATAAGATATAATGTTTAGTGTTTAAAAAGTAGAATTGAATTAGGACTAGTGAAACTTTTTTTTTTTGTACTTTCACCTCTTTCAATACCCAAGTAACATTTTTTTGTATCACTTTGAAACCAGAAAACAAATTCCTTTGCAATATCTGATTTGCTGGTTAAAAAAAATCCTTTAATAAAAATACCATCTCTGGGATGCCATGGCATTATTATGAGAAAGGATGTCCCTGTTAGCCTAGAGCATGAAGGTGACAGTCACCAGCCAGCATCACTGCTCCCAAATGGACCAGGTCATGCTTCCAGGCCTCCAGTCTATCTCTGCTGACTTCTAACTTGCAAGTGGAGTACATGCTCATGTAAGGGATAGTGAGTGGGAGGAACTGTGGTCATAAAGAAGCCTGCAGTGGACACAGGAAAGGTTTTACTGGCCATGTGTAATTGGACGTCACTCTGTTCTGACATTAGGAAGAACTTTTAATGCTTGGGAAAAGTAAAAATGGTTCTATTAGTCACATTACTCAAATAAGATGACTGTAACCCAGCAGCACTTATCCAGATTCCAGAACTTTGTTTCTGTTTGGAGGCAAACGTCTGCCTGTGCAGTTTTTCCTTCCAGCCAGTGTGCTCTTGGGTGCCCAGGTCCTCCATCAGTCTCGCACTCCATGCCAGCTGCCTCATTGCCTAGCAGTACCAGGGGACAAACATACCAAACCGGTACAGTAAGACATCCAGGGGGCCACAATCTCAGGGATGGAGTCAGGTTCCGTTGACCTGAGCGCACCCATCAAACATGTTCCAGTTCCCCATCCCACCCCACCCGCACACAATGGCTCCTCAGTCCCTGAGGCCTGGATCCCAAGAATCTCAGTTGAGTTCAGCTTCACTGCTGCTCCAGAGCCTGTGTATTATAGCAACCCGGGGGCAGGTTGTCCCTGATGTTCTCCAGGTTCTTTACATCAGCCAGAATCCCATCTATGCTCATCTCCAAGAAGTGGAGGTGATTCTTCTGTCGACGTGCCCTCTCCTCCAGCTCTGACATCAAGGGCCGCAGTTGGCTGTTGATCCGGGTCTTAGTTTGGAAAAGCTCCTGCTCCAGTAAGGCCAGTCCCTCTTCATCCACACTCCCAGGCTGGTCTATTTAGGAGATGAGAAATGCATTAACATAGGAAAGCTGTGGTTAGATCTCATGGAGCACGTGTATCCCCTTCTATACTCTTACAAATTCCTGTTTTTGCCTGCCCCAAGCAAATATATACCACGAATTATAAAGGCTTATTTTTTTGTTTTTAGTACATACTTACAGTACATAATCATTACATTTATTTATTTATTTATTTTGTCTTTTTCATTTTTACTGGTACCAGGGATCGAACTCACGACTGCCTGCTTGCAAGGCAGGCGCTTATGCCACTGAGCTAAATCCCCAGCCCCAATCATTGCATTTATTACGGGAAATTGGTACATGTATATAAAGACTCATTTTAAATTAGAAATAATCTAGGAAAAGTTCAGAGAGCACTAGCCTTATTTCTGGGCTATGAACAACTCGTTCAAGACTCTGAGATCTATAGTCAAGCAGTATGAATTGGAGCTTACTTTTCAGGTTAGGGCCAATAGAGCATGCTATGAAAAGGTCACAGGGGACTGAGCACTATCCAAAGTACCTGCCTACCACAGCTCATCCCATGATCAAAATCCACTCTACATAAGCTCTTTTCATTGCCCTTAGGAAATAGCTTGCTGTTTTCTAGTAGAAGATCTCTGGAAACTGGCTGAGATTCAGTGTTTACAGAGGTATGCTTTGCTTTTGGGGGGATGGATTCCAGCTGTTTGAAAATGATGTAAGATTTAATTTTGGACCGAAACAGTGGGAATCTGGCTAGGTATCAGTTTATTTCCAGTGTGAAATGTAATCACATTTGTTCAGTTATGTTGTACCCATAAACAATATAAAGCCAAAGTTAGCATGAAGGGCATCAGGCCAGACCCGTTTAGTTCTATTACATTTGAATTGCCCTTGGTCAGTTCAAACTCAAGGTCACATATTTCAGCTGCAGAGATGGTATTTGAGTGCATGAGTCTGTTATACCTAGAGCAATTAATCAGTTATTGTTCCAGACCTCAAGAGAGGACACAGAGTACAAACATATCATAACAAAAATTCTGAGCCAATGGACCTGCACTTTGCCTGAGGACAAGGAAGAATTCAAGAATTGAGGGTTCTATGACATGCAAGAAAGCTGAACAAAATAACCAAGTCCATGGGGAGGCAACTTGACCTACTAGAAAAGAACAATAATGTTGAAGCCAAAGAGCTCTCTCACTTTGCACGCTGTCTCCACAATTTCAGTTTATTCCTCTGTGAAATATTACAAATAATAAATCTGCTGTGTAGGACCATGAAAAGACATGGCATTCAAACACAGTAAATGTCTAACAGTTCCCGCTGCCCTTCTCTGTCTGCTCTCTCGTATTCTCTTTAAAGGCTCCATTAGGTTCATTGTCAGTTTTAAAATTTTTTTTTTTTTTTTTTTTTTTTTTTTTGTATTGGGGATCGAATTAAACACTTCGCGCTTGCCAGGCAGGTGCTTGCGCCACCAAGCTAAACCCTTGGCCCACCGTTTTTAAAATGATAAACATTGCTGCTAAAATCTCACCTGAAAAGGTTTATTTTATTTTATTTTATTTTATCCTTAGAGGGTATTTTACTGTTTGGGGCTACAGGATCACAAAGTAGATCCATTAGTACACAGAAAGTACTGGTGTCTCAGGGAGATTATGACATTCTAAAGAAAAGTTGGGTTGTAAAGTTGTTCTACTGAAGTAAAAAACAAAACAAAACAAAACAAAACCCCCACAGACCTAAGTCCTTTCCTGAACACCTCTAGAATCTGTTGTTGTTTTGTTTTTGTCTTTTTATCGGTACTGGGGATCGAACTCATGACTGCCTGCTTGCAAGGCAGGCACTTATGCCGCTGAGCTAAACCCCCAGCCCCTCACCTCTAGAATCTGTGACCAAGTCTGTATTTCCTCATCTAGTGCAGCCCAAGCCTGATTAAACAGACCAAATGACACTTGATATCAGCTCTCCCTACACTAGAGGTTTTGTTTAATCAGTTTTCTAGGAGTGATTCTTTGGGGGAAAATCTGGTTCCTGCTGTCAAAGCTGTATTACCCTACAGTTTTGCCTTATCTTATGGACATAGGCCCACGATACTTGTGTATTCACATTTCTTCCAGGTCATCTGCTTGGGGAGTTCCAGTCCCCCCAGTGGATAACATCAAGGATGACTATGATTTGTGGAGAAACAGACAGCAAAATCAGCAAGTAGTCCTTGACCTCGCGGACAGAGGACCTTCCTCCACATCTTCCCCTCCCACTTCCTTCCTTGGCCTCTGAGCAGACTCCGTCATCTTGCTCCTGAGTCCTCCATAGTATCCTAACTCATTTCCTGTACCTCAGATTAATTTCCTAAGTTTTCTTCCATTCAGCTTCACTCACGAGCCTTCTAGATATAAAGTAGTCTGCTTAAAACGGACCACTGTCTTCTCAAGACTAAGGCCAGGCTTTCCTAGGACCCTCAAGCTGTCCAGTCTTCTCTGAAGCTCCTGGAAGAGCACTCTGAGCTCTGTCACCCCAGATCTCCATTTCTTAGTGCAACAGTTGCTCAGTGACTCATCTGTAGTAAAACAGAATGCAGAAACCATAATGCAACTTGTCAAGGTCTCTTGGCATGGAAACAAAGCAAACTGCTGCATACCCTAAGGGCAAGTTGAGATTGCTGTTCCTCGGGGCTAGAAATAGTGAGTCTTCAGACCCTAGAAAGGGGAAAGACCCTAGAAGAAGGGGTTAAAAGTTGTGGAGACTCCGCAAACCTATCAGGTGTAGGATGCTGTCCAGTGAGTTGAGAGCGTCTTGGATTGTAACACCTGCATTCTTGGCTCTGGCATCAACTCTCTGGGCTTCAGTAATCACCTGCAGAAAAATAAGAAAGCTGTCTCAAACGGCTAATCTTGCTTTTGACAACTCTGAAGGGCTGTCCCATAGAAAGCAGCAGTCACTGACCATCTGCACCGCATCCATGTCTGTATCAAACTCCAGCTCCTTCCTGGCCAGCTCTCCTTCCACCTCTCTCATCTCACTCTTTAGAGTGGCCAGTCCCTTTTCCATGGCCAAGGCCCCATCTGCTGTCACATTGGCTTCCAAGTTCAGACTCCCTATCTCCTGGGAGAAGAGAAGGCGCCAAGGACGGAAAAAGAGAAGAGGTGAGACTCAAAAACATCCAACGGAAAACTGTAGAAAAAATACAGCTGCAGCCTGGCTCTGAAGAGCTAAACTAGATGGACAATGAGAAAGTCAGACATGAGGACGTGCTCTTCCCGAGATCGGCCGCAAACAAGCTAATTCTGGGAGGCGTCTCCAGGGGACAGGAGGGCCGGTGCTGAGACACCACTTTCCTCTCAGTTCTGTGCTAACCAAACAATCACATACAAGCCATTTAAGAAAACCCAGAGCACCAGAAACTGGCATGCTTTGTTATGTTCCTTTGCTGCCATGGTCTTTGAATGACTACTCAGATCCTCAAGACAGTTGAGTATGGACCACGGAGTGCAGAGAACAAATGGCAACAGTGTAGACTTTGTGTTTTTATAAGGACAAAGCTTATCCACATTTTTTCTCAAGAAATTACCATCAAACTGCAGGTGTCTTTATTCTAGAAACTACCTTAATTACAGGAAACTAGTCTCTTTCTCAAGGAACTTAAAATTAGAAATTATTTTTATAGTTTACCAAATGGTCTAAAAGTAAGGTCAAATTGTCCGGATACCAAGAGTTTCTACTGTTGCATAAACTCTCCAGAAACTATGCCTAATTAAGAGCTATAAAGTTCTTCGCTGGCAGAGAAGCACTCCTTCCACTGTAGCATTTAACATATGGGCTGCAAATGGAGTTTGACTGTCTGCTGTTGCCCTGAGCGCTCCTGGAAGAGAAGCAATGCATCTTCCTTATCTGTGTATCTCCAGCACCAAGCACAGTGCAAGCAGACAAGAGAAAAGTAAGTGGAGTTTAGACACCGCGCACAGACTCAACCAATGGATTTAGTTTCACAACTTCGGAATCTGGAATCAAAACAAGGATGATAGTTGTTCAGATTGAATGGTCTCCCTCTGCAGAGACTTGCTGAAAGCCTAACCCTCGTACTTCAGAATGTAGTTCTTGGACACTGGTTTGTTGAGGAGATGATTAAGCCATGATGAGGTCATACTGGAGTAGGTCGAGTCCTTAATCCAACATGACTGATGTCCTTCTAAGAGGAGACAGAGACCCCAGGGGAGAACTCCATGGTTTCACACAGGCAGAGATTAGAGTGACACGGTTGCAAACCAAGGGATGGCCAAGGATGGATGATCACTCTCAGGAGCGAGGAAGAGGAAAAAGGACTCTCCCATGAAGTTTTCCAGGGGAACAGCGCCTTAGCCTCTACAACCATGACAGAAAATTTTCTGTTGCCTTGAGCCATCTGGTTTGTGGTATTTTGCTAAGCAGTCTTAGAAATGAATACAACAATGTACTTAAAAACAGTCTTGCACGGTTCTCCTCATGGTTGTCCAAATGCAGCTGAGAACCAGCACTCTAGCATGTAGTCCCTGCAGCCTGTGACTCAACCCCACAGAAGGAGTGGCTTTGTGGATCCGCCCCCGCCAAGAACCACCACAGGACTAGGAACCACAAGGGTCAAAGTGAGCCCAGTGCTCGCTCTGTGTTTGCCCCTGCTTGTCCCAGCCTGCGTCTCCATGGCTCCTTACCTGTTCCATTTGGCCACTGATCTCCAGTGCCTCCCTTGCAGCACTGTTTGCCCGCTGGGCATCAGCAGTGGCACTGCCCAGCGCGCTTTCGGCTTGCTCCGTCTTGTCACTGGCGTCTGCAACCTTCCGGCTGATGTAGGAGAGTCTCTTCATGGCCTCTTCCGCTTCTACTTTTCTGTCTTCTACCTGCAGGTCAAACTCTGAAATGAAAGGGGAAAATAACGGCCATGAAAAGCTCACTTACAAATGAGTGAAAAGGAGCGATGAAAAACCCCTCTAAGAGTGTTAGTTCTGCCTGAGGGTGAAGAAGTGAGGAAGCTGTGGCTGGAATCACTCTCTTTATCTAAGAGAGGACCTCAAAAGGGGCCTGGTGGGGGCACAGCTAGTCCTTAGAGAAACAGACTATCAGCCTGCCCTTGGTCCCCACCAACACAACAACATCAAAACTCCAACGTGGATAAAAAGCAGGTGAGATCCCTGAAGCCCAAAGCTTGAAGCCAGAAGCTGCCAATGGTAAGAGTTGGGGTTTTGGGTAGAATGAATAAGAGGAAGTTTTTATAAAGAAAATCCCAAGTCTGTATTATTTGTTAGTAAAGAATACTAAAATTTTAACCAGATTTCAGCAAACCTTGACCTAGACCTCCTGTAGTCTAGATACCATGACGAAGGTGACTGCGTCATCACCACGGGGCAACCAGGTTACAAGAGAAAAGGAAAACTACCTTTGCAGTAGTGAGCTGTTGTATCTATGGGGAATCTTTGAGATCTCTTAGTTCAACCTTTTCCCTTTAAGGAGCAGGGTTTGAGGGTGTAGAGAGGTCATGTGATTTGCCTGTGGCCACACAACAAGATTAGGCTGTTTACCTGGCCTAACAGAGATGAGAACATAAGTCATCTGACATTTAGTTCGATTTTTCCACCACCACTATCAAATATTAAAAGGACTTTTTCTTTAGAAAGATATTTACCAGGCATCTATTAATATCCCATATACCTATTCCCTAAAGGACTATGTGAAAATTCAAAGCAAACCAGTTGTTTTAAAATACCTAAGTAATCTGAATCATGAAGCACTAACCTCTGAGGTTCTTTAGGATGTTCTCAACTTCATAAAAAGTGGCATTGCCCATACTTAGTGCTTCTTGGGCTCTGCTTTTAGCAAGGTTGGCACGGGAAAGCAGCTGACCCGCTTTCTGTAAATAGAGAGAACAAGATTAGAATAAGTGCATTCCTGCTAGCAAAATCCCTCTGACACATTCTCTTAATGACAACAGAGAGCTGCGGCTCGGTCTAAGGGCACTGCAGCAAAGCTCCTACAACATGGGACAGAGCGAGCCCCATCAGCCGCAGAGTGAACCATCTTCAGTGCGAGCCCCCTATCAGTGACAAGAATAGTTTTGCAAACCACAATTTTAAACTCATACTGCAGCCAAGCTAGTAGATAGACCAAAATTAGAACTAGGTGGCTTCAGTCCTATTTCCACTGCTGATTTAGTGGATGGAGCTAATCACAATGAGCTCCATGTCTCTATAAGCAGCAGCTCCATGACCTTCGGAGAACTTTTGAGGTCTCTTCTTGACATATTCCAAATGGCTTGTTGAGTAAACAAGTTAACAAAAGCATACCTGTCTCCCGTTCTTTCCATCCTGTAAGAGCTGCTGGGTTTCTTTTTCACGGTTTCCCAGATTGCTTCGCACCCGCTTGACCTCATCTGTATGCCTGGCCACCAGGCTCGAGAGAGAATCAACTTTCTGTTGGATCCTCTTTGCTTCCACCTGCGGGCCCAAAGATGTGGATGAGTCTGACTTTCTGCTCACCAGTCACCAACATGTTTTAAGGCCTGATATCATTGTATGAAAACAGCAATTCCCTTAAAAAGCTAAAAAAAAAAAGTCACTAGTCATCCAGTCCCGTGCCTGGCAGAAATAAGGCAACACATCCAGGGGACGTTAGGGAGCAGGTCCCCCAAGCATCAGTCAGGTTTTGTCTTTGTTCTTTTGTTGCTTTTTTTAAAAAAGTTACATATTAGCTTATATACCCATGGGAACATGCGTCCATGAGCATTATTGTGAGTGCTTTTTTCTATAAAGTTCATAGAAACAGAATCTACTTAATCTAATAAATTTGGAATAGTTAAGGGAAGATTAAGGCAGAAGCAATTCAAATCTCTTGATAACAAAAATCTTCTCATTGGTGGTACATACAGATGCACTGAACTTGATAATAATTTCTCACAGATTTCAACAGTCCCCAGAGCTGAGAAAGAGATATAAAACTTTTACCAATAGTTTGAGAATGAAAAGATCTTTGGAAAGACGAGGCTCAGAGTTCAAGAACAAAAAAGTGATAATAAGAAAGACACATATTTGTCCTGCCCCGAAGCATGAAGAGTCAATACCATGGTGTGACTGTGAGTGGGGTCCCCTTCTGCTAAGACTTGGTTCCCAGGGAGGCACTATCGGTGGTGATGAAACCTTTGGGAGGAGGATCTTAAAGGAAAGTCCAAGGGTCATTGGGGTTGGAGGTCAATTTATGCCCTTAAAAAGAACTGTGCAACCCTTCCATTCTCCTCTCCATCTGTTCCTTGTTCAAGATGTGAACGTTCACTCTGGCACAGCTCCCCACCACTGCCATCTGCCATGCTCACCAGAACTGAGCCAATGCAGAACCTTCATGAACTCAATATACTTTTTTCTTGATAAATTAGCTGCCTCGGATATTTCATTGTAGTAATGCAAAACTGACTAACAGAATCAACACACAGAAGAGCTGAATGTGTGAGCAATGTTAAGAAATCTCTGGGGAAGAAAGTACTCATGTGCCTTTATCCGTGTATTAAGCACACCTTGAAGGACTGATCACTGACTCCCTGAAGCTGAGACACTGAATCCAGAAGGCGGAGACTATGCTGATGAGACTGATCTGCCTCAGTGTCAGTCTGAGCAGCCTCCCTTGACAACTGCTGGGCCAGGGACTTGGTTTTCTCCAACCTGTGGGAGGAAGGGGAGATGATTAAATAGGAAGAGATCTTTGAGAACTTACTCTTTGTATAGAAGCAAAAACTCCTACTTTAAAGGCAGGTAACTGAGGCAATGAGAAGAACCAAAGAAAGTTATGAGCGAGGCATGAGACTCTTCACAACATAAACACATCACTATACTTGAATGAGAATCAGAAAAGTTCATTTCAAGCTTCCCAATTTCTGATAATACAGTACACATTATTCTTACATTCTTTATAATGCCAGACATGGTGTCCTTCAAACACCACAAAGAATTGCAATCACTTAAAGCACAAATTTTACTCAGATTAATCACTTGGTCTTCCCCCAGTATTAAAGATATTTACTTTGCCCAAAATACTATAATATTATGCTCATTCTCTTGTTCCTGCAATTTTTAACATTAGGAATAACATACATTGTTAAAAGAATCATGGTGCCTCTGATGTATGATTTGCATTATACCCTGGCAGAATCCAGGTTTTACGATGCAAGTGAGGACCCACTGAAACATACTTTCCCATAAGTCCTTGTACTGCGTGGTTGTCAGTGATGTCACTTCCGACACCTCCACTCTGAGCCTTGCTGGCCAGTAATAGTGCTTGTTTGGAATAATCCGCAGTTTCCCTTACCAGTTGCTCCATGTTATTGGCTGACTCAACGTGGCTGAAAGGATTAAAAACAAAGAATTAGAATGTCCCAGCAAAGGATTTGCATGTAAATAGAGAAGAGTAAGGGAACTGGCTTGGCTTACAATATCCAACAGATCTAACCCAGGTTGGATAAAATCAGAGGAACTATCAAGAAGCAGGTGCTTTGGAGGATAAGCCTCATGTCATAGACCTATGGTGGTCTTTTATGACAGGCTCAGTAAAGTGGGAGCCATCTCAGGGTGACAAACCATTGTGCCTGTTTACTGCAGGAAAAAACCCCTAAGTATTTCATCTCTGGTCCAACTCTCTACTCTATTTCACTGCAACTCTAAAATGAACCCATAGCCAGGGGAACAAAGTCTTAAAAAAAAAAAAAAAAAGTCCCTTATAAGCTTCTGTACTCCTGGTTCTAGGAAGTGACATTTTAAAAAACAACAAAACACAGGCTCAAGAGACAGATGTGCTACAAAAACACAGCCCGTTTCACTGGCTGAATTCCATTTGGGATTAACAAAGCTTGCCACCCTGCTGAGCACTCTGCTACAAGCAAGCCTAGTAAACATGATAGGATTTAGTCAGAGGCAAAGACCCCAGAGCCACCATTTACCACTGGTGTGCTGCAGAGCTGGTTTCCAGGAGGAAGTCCCCCCTCTACGCACACGCACACGCTGCCCCAGGCTAGCAAGTTACTTGTTGCTACTTGTTCCCAAGCTTGGTCTGGGAGGCCAGGAGTCCCTAAAAGCTGCAGAACATCGTTTTCCAAACGCTGATTCATTTCACCTGACCCAAGGGATTACATCTGACATACACCAAGGCCATGCTGTGAGTCACAGAGAAATCTGAAGGATGAAACACTGCAACCTCCAGCTCCTGCCAAATGACCCTACCCAGTGACATACACTAAAAGCCAAGTGGCTAAAAAATGACTTTAAGGCAGGGGATGGCTTTATGCGCACAGAGGTAGTAACTACGATACTTGGGTTCTGAATACCCTACAGTCTTGTTCAGGTTTGCCTCACAGGGATGGACTGGGTCTGAGGTGCTTTCTGATGCTGCTTACCTGTCTGCCAGCCGTACCGCCTCCTGAGCCAGACTTTTAAAGCCATTTGGTCCCACATACTGGTCAGAGGAAGGAATGTCCTGTGGCAAAAGAAGAACTAGTGAGGACCTTGCACTTGGCCATGGAGCCCTTCTCTATGCAGGTATGATCCAAGCATCCACTCGGACACATCCGGAGTCCCTATTCACCAGAGTTACTCTGTTTTAAAAAGTAGAAATAGAGAAGTACAAATCCAAGCTCAAAAGAAATCTGTATAAAAATACAGACGCATTAAAAATATATCATATAGGGACCCGGGGATTTAGCTCAGTGGCATAAGCACCTGCTTTGCAAGCACGCAGCTGTGAGTTCAATCCCCGGTACCAAATATATATATATATATAGTTTGGCATGGTAGCACTCTTGTAATCTCAGCACTCTCAGAGGCTGAGGCAGGAGCATAGCCTGGATAATTCAGTAACTTAGTGAAAACTTTTCTCAAAATAAAAGAATGAAAAAGGGCTGGAGATGTAGCCCAGAGTAAAAGCCTTAGGTTAAATCCTCAGTATTGAGGGGAAAAAATGTGTATATACAAGCACATGAATATATATTTAAAGTCCAGTAACAATCAAGTTTAACAGCAGTTATTTAATAGTAATGGTATCATAGGGAATTTTTAAATTTTCTACAATAACGTTTTTGTAATAAGGGGAAATCAATACACATTTTTAATGTGCTTTCTTAGTCATCTGACTACCTTCTAATTTTCTTTCTTCATTTCCTATCTATCCACTTCCATTATTGTCACCAGAGACTTCTTTAGAAATAGAAGAGGACTCAATCAAATCTCTCCCTCCTATCACACTGTAAACCACATCACTAGGAAAATCATAATAGCAGCAATTTTTCCCCCATTTTCAGAACGACTTCAATGGGTTACTTCCTGAATCCTTTCCAACTTTCTTCTCTTCCTACCTTTTCAATCATTCATTCATTCATTCCCTAATCCATTCGTTCATTTATGCCGCAGGGATTTACAACAGCCCCGCTGTGGACTGAGAATACAAATGAAACAAAACTAAATCCTACAGAAAGGAGAGAGAGAGAGGATCAAGTTGAGTACATGGTCAGAAAGAAAGGAGCCAGGGAGGAGAGTACAAAGCATCAAATAGGAAATTTCAGGCCAAAGACACACAGAATAGGTTTGACTGTTACAAGGAATGGAAGTCCAACTTCCTGCCAATAGACCAAACACCCTGAGAGGCAGAAAGTGGGCCCGTGAAATCTCAGGTGGGTCTCTGAGCAGGGCAGCGGTTCTCAGCACCATCATCCCTACCGAGTTTCTCAGGGAAGCTTCATTTTCTGCCATGCTCAGGCGCATTTGTGCAATGAGCCTTCTAGTATCCCGAACTCGGTTCTGATACTGATTGCCCAGGGCCTGAACCCTCTCCACGGTCATCTTGAGGTCATCCAGGCGGTTCCGGTAACTGCTCTCTTGGCCCCTTGCGTTGGCCAGCTGGAGCCTGAGAGATCTACTAGCACCTGGACACAAAGAAAGCAAAGGAGGTTGAGTACTTTCCCCATCAGTGTAGCTTTACCTAACCAGGGGGTTGCCTAGCTCATGGTAAATGACAAAACCAATAGGTGAGTAAAGACACACCACTGCTTTTTCATCCCCATCACTCAGGCCCAGGAGACCATCACAGCCCCCCTTCCACCTGGGCAAGGGCTGCTGGAGACCTCTGCTGCACCGACGTCCACAGGAGATTCTGGGACATCGTGCGGTGATTCTCTCCAGGACATGGCCCCTCTCCTGTCTGAAGGGAAGCTGGCCTTCCTCACCTTCTGAAATCTGGGCTTCTCTCAGAATATCCTGAAGGGCCTGCTCAGCCTGCTGCAGCCTGCCTTCCAGCTCTGAATTGGGTATTGTGCCGCCACCACCCTGTGCCTTTGAAATCAGGGCCTCCAGGCCCTGAAGCTGCTCCATAAACTGGGCCATCTGAAATCAGGCAGAAAAGAAGATCAGAACAGAGGATGAAGACCCTGACCCAACACCAGAGATAGGACCTAAAAGTCCAGGAATCCTTGGTAACATTATGGAGCCTGTGTGAATTCTGTTCCTACTACTCTACCCACAGAGTCATGGCCAAGCTATTTCTTTATCTATGAGGTAGAGATAATGAACACAATACTACTGTCTCATAGATTATGACTTGAACTAAATGACATAATATTTGTAAAGTGCTTAGAATAAAAGGTGGCGCTGAGAAAGTGCTGCAAGTCTTGCTCAATAAAAGTCAAAAAAACTTGAATGTATTCTACTTTTAATATTATGTTTCGGATCTTTTTATCTCCTCTCCCTCACTCCAGAAAAATAATAATTAATAACGTCAACAACATCAAGTCTGCTCTTCTCTGGACTATAAATGAGAAATTTCTGGAGGTCGTAGTCCTGCTCAGACAGCCTGGACCCCTCTTGGACTACACAAATCTTTAATATGTGTATGTTTTTCTGAATTTGCTTTACAAGGACATCTTATAGGAAAAAAATTAGTTAGAAGGGGGATAATACAGTGAGAGCCCAAATTCAGAGAGTTAGGGGACAGCATGACCTCCCAGTTTCCCCTGGCCAAACAACTTTAATTTCAAAGGCTTTATATGACTAGTTATCAGAGGATCAAACAAGATGGTACCTGCAAGAGGGGTCTGAGAATGGCATATGTAGGAAGATAAACCTTACTGTTAGAGTAAATAATACTTTTTAGTACAATAAGTTTTTTAAAAAAGAGACGGTAACCTCCCATCCACAGGAGATGTGGGGGAGTCCTCAACCTGTGAGGGAATCACCTGGGGACACTCACAGGTTGAGTCTGGGTGGGCGAGCGGTGGTAAGGAGAGGAAGGCCTACCTTAGTATTCACTTGACTGTAGCAAGCTGGACAGCTGGGTAATGCTCTGTGCTCACAGTTGAGACCACCAAATCCTGGCTTGCAAATACAGCTGCCATCACTGCGACACTGTCCTGGCTCTGAACCCACAGGGCTGCAGTTGCAAGCTAGAGAAGAGAGACAGACAAATGGAGGATTTACATCCATCTCATCCCAGAAACTAGTGTCAGTAGCAAAAATCTTTATTTGCCCTCATCACTCACGCTGTGTCAGAGTCGCCCTTGGCTACGCCCCCAGCACCTTCCTAGCACAGGTCACCCTCAGTGCTCACCTCCCGCTCTGTTCAGTGAGTGTGGATGAAAAGGGTTCACAACAGTTCCTCCTCTTTTTCTTCTCACTAAACTATAAGCCTGGTGACCTGGTGACTATCCTGCTATGACTCTGGCTTTGCTTACAAGGTGGACAGCATTTCTTTGGCCTGTCATGTGCCAGATGTAAACATCTTCCTTGGTTTTACAGATAAGGAAAGGGAGCTCAAAGAGGCTGAATTATTGGCCCAGTGTCCTACAGCAAACAAATGGGACGCTGCCACTGGAGCTGAAAAACTGCAAAGCTGTTTTCCTTCTGCTGTTGCCTTTGATGTAGCAAACTCAATGAGAAAGCAGTACCATTACTGATTCATCAAATGTATTGTTCACCTCGTGTGTGCCAGGTTCTGTTTTAGGAGCCAACGGTATAACAGTGGACAAGACACTGCTGTGATGCTTACAATGAGCCTCTGGATTGCTTTATGTTAGTGTCCACAAAACATTGATCTCATGTCTAAGGGTACCATCATGATTGGTGTATGTGTTTGTATATCTTCCTTATTAGCATATAAGTTCTTTAGGTGCTGGAACTGATTCATCCTTTATTATAACCTTAGTATCTAAGGTCACACTATGAATGTGGTAGGTAGATGAATGAAGAAATACGTATCCTAAACCAGGCATGATAGCACACGCCACTAACCCTAATACTCCAGGAAGTGAGGCAGGAGAATTATGAGTTAGGGCCTTTGTGAGATCTTGTCTCAAAATAAAACGTAAAAGAGCTTAGGATGTAGCTCCATGCAAAGGCCCTGGGTTCAATTCTCAGTAAGACAAAAAAGAAAAGAAATATATGGTCTAAAGCCAACAAAACCTCTATTAATGATGCCTTATGGCTCTAAGTCTGGGGAGTTTATAGTGTGCTTGCTTTCTTATATTCCATTTTGTTTTATCTTTGCAACCATTTTGAGTTAAATATTATTCACATATGTGAGGAAGCATTGGCATGATCAGCACAATCCCATAGGTTTATTACAAAACTGGACTTGAGCTCAGTATTGAGAAGAGAGCTGAGCTCAAGGCCCGATCTGTACACTTACGCTCTGATCTGAAGCAGCCCTTAGGAAGGCTCCATGATATCTCCTGCTTTGAAGTGGAGTCTCCTTTGGAGAACTTTCAACATTACCTTCTATGATCAATTACATTCACTTCCTGAGAGGATCTCTTGAACTTCCTTACACCAGCTCCCCTCTCCGTGTAGTTTGCTCAGACTTAGTCTGGAGTCATTTATTACTCTCCCACAACAGCTCCGGCGCCCACTCTCCTGCCCGCCTGCCTTGGGAGTGGGCATGGGCGGTCATTCCCTTTTATCTTCTCCTCCACTTAACAATGTAAACCTGACCTTTGTGGCTTCTCCCACCAGCTCTCACCATCTGAAAGCTTCCAGCCCTGTGCTCTAGAGCCCTCCACAGAGGAAACTGTTAAGGCCTCTGACAGGTGCAAGGTGCAGGCTGTCCATAGGCCACTTGGCTAGAGAACTAAAGTTACATCATGTTGTTAACCCCCCTTGCCATACACGTGTACATACTAGCAAGCTTGTGTACGCACACACACTGACACCTCTTGTCTGGTGTGCTCCTACCTCGACACTTGTTGGCTGGATTAGGAGCCAGTGGATCTCCGAAGTAGCCTGCTTTGCACTGGTCACAGTTGAAACCAGCCGTGTTGTGGATGCACTTCAAACACCTGCCTGTCAACCCATCACAGTTTCCGGAGGCACTGGGGTCCACGTTGTTGTTGCACTGACAGGGCTGACAAGGCCTCACTGGGCCACGTTCCCCAAAGGGGTCCCCAAAGTAGCCATCAGCACAGAGCTCACAGCGTGCACCTGGGAAGAAACGGAGGAACAAATGACCCAGCTGTCACTGGCAGCAAGACCAGACACAGAGGCCTAAAATAGCCAGATGCTCTGTAGAAGAACCAGGGAAATGCGCTTCCCTCAGAACCTCAAAACAATATCCTCGGGAGCAGGTGAACACTGCAGGGGGCTGGTCCTTGGTCACCGAGGGGGTTAGAGCACAGCACTCCACTGGGAGGCTTGACCAGCTGGTGGGGAAATACCAGTAGCAGCGCAGAAGTGGTGCGGTTTTGAACAACGGGTTGCCACTGGAATGAATCCTTCTAGACTGACCTGCAGAGGCTGTGACATCCAAGAGGTCACTACATTTTCCTTCTTTACCTTGAGTCATTAAAAAGCAAATGAAACCACATATTTGATCAGAAAATATCATCTCCTAATTGTAAGCCTTTCCAAAACTGTGTTAGGTGTTTCTTCTGCTATCTGTGCACGCTCTCCTTGTTCTGTCCACGTCACCCCTTTAGAAGGGACGCATCTAGCTAGACTAACCTGAAGTAACCTGAGTTTCCTAGAAATTCCTTGGGATGAGCACTACTGACAGGAATTCGGACCTCGGGATGGGGAGAGCGGCCACAGCTTACCTGTGACCCCCGTGGGGCAGTTGTTGCATACCACCTCCTCTGTCTCCGGCATCACAGAACAGCTGAACCCATTGTGACAGGGGCACGGTTTGCAGCTGCGGGGGTCATGCGGATCATTGTAGAAACCAAGGGGACAGTCGGCACACTCGATGTCAGGGTTTTCATCCCCTGAATAACAGTCTCCTGGGAGGCAGAAGGAAAATGGGGGGCAGAGAAATGAGCGGGGTCAGACAACACATGCATCGGTGAGGATGGGGTGTGTGGATCAGAGTGCAGAAACCTCAAGCCTTCTTTTCCAAGGCTCTCTCCAGTTCTGAGCACCTTCTTCCCTGCCTTTCTACCAATCGGAAGACAATCAATCCCACCTTCACTCTTCTGCCGAGTAGACACGCATCTCCTTTGCTATTCACGACTCAACATTGTTCCCCTGTCCTCCGTGGCCAGACACCATTTGTTCGCCCATTCATTTTAGCCCCTGACTTGCCTTTGATCTCCCCAAACAAATCTTGCAACTTGACACCAATCCCCACTACCACCTTGCACTGAACCATGACAGCCATTTCCTGCAACCCAACCCCTTTCTCACAACCCTGTGGCATTTCCATAATGAAAAGGATTGAGTGTAATAAGGCACCGTGTCCATCTTCCCTGACTCCTGCTGTAATTTCGCTAATCCCTCCCCATCTAGGAAATGAGTTCAAGCAGGATATTTCTTACTCAAATCTACCTTTCCCCAGGTGACCCTAGTTACCCACCTGTCCCCACCTCCCGCCACCTGGTCCAAGTGTCATTTCACTCACCTGTGTCTGGATCACAGGTCCCTCCCCCTTGGCAGTTACACGGAATACAGGTACCAAAAGGCCCCAGGCTTGCTGCATCTCTTTTGTAGCCAGAAGCACAATCCTGGCAGAACTGGCCCTTGTACCCAACAGGACACACACAGTGCTCAACCCAGGGTGCTGGGGCTCCAGAGACGGGGCGGGCAGAAATCAGAGTCACATTGTCAATATACCCAGTACCTGCAATAGAAAGAACGGATTAGAAGGAAGTGTAAGGCCTAAGGGTCTGTAATCAGGCCGCTCTGGATCTTGTTTTCAGTAACTCCCTGACAGATGGTATCCACACATCAAGCCTGATGGAGGGGTACAGCTCACAGACCAGCCTGGGGACTGAGCGTACAAACTCTGGAGTCAGGAAAATCAGCAGTACAATTCTGGCTCCATCCTCATGAGCTGTGTGAATTGAGTGAATCACTTCAGCTCCTCATGAATACTTTTCCTCAACTGTAGAAGAGAACACTGGTATTTCCTATACATGTGAAAATTAAATGGTACAGTGCATACTACAAAGTGATGAGTACACTGTGCTAACAGGCATCTTTTCCAATGGAAATGGTACGAGTGCTAAAAATCTTAAGAAATTTTCCTTTCAATGATTCCAATTGGAATTAAAAAGCTCCAACATATCCTAGGAGATTGAAGCAAGAAGTTGGCAAGTTCAAACCCAGCCTTAGCAAGATCCTGTCTCAAAATAAAAAAGGGTTGGGTACGTAGTTCAGTGGGAAGACCCTGAGCTCAATGTTTAGTAGTAAGAACAAACAAAAGCTCTAACAAGCAAAATTCAAAAAGGGAAATAAGGGAACACACGATGATGTTCCAACTGGTAGCATTAGGTATAACTGCAAAGGAAAAGCCACTCAAGAAATAAGCAGGGTCATGTTGTAGATGCAATTCCCCAGCTAAGGAAATGTGCCTGTTTGGTAGATTATTTCCTTCAAATAATCAACTTTAGTAGAAATTCAGGGATTCTTTTAGTGTGATAGCATCCTTCTTTGTTCAGTGGTGCTGACCTCTTTTTAGACAAACATATTCTTTTAAAAAACTTCTGAAATGCAATAATTTAGACTCTAAGTAAAAACTATTGAATAATTTTTCTATTTGTTGGGAGACTGCCACCACCTGAGACAGCTGAAGCAAATCAAACTAAAGCCCAAGAGGAGAACTTCATTTCTCCTAGTCCCTTACTGTACTCTCCGTACGTAGCTCGGATCCGGAGGGCTGTGAGGTTCCGAAGTAACCTTCGATACTCAAAATAACTCAGCTGGGGGCTCCAGTTACTGCTTGGATGTTCGTTTAATCTGTGCAATTTAAAATTAAAAGCACATTAAAACCCAACCCAGATCACATTACTACCTGATACAACTTATACCTGAAAATGTGGGAACAGCTAAGCTTCCAGGCTTTTCTATTGAAAAGGGATGAGGGACTGCTAGCTTCCTCTTCACACTTCCTCAAGTACAGACTTGGAGATTCCCCCTCACAGGAAAGGTTACAGCCCACAGAACTCACGGAGGGCGTGCAAGGTGGAAAGTTTGGCTCCAGGAGTCGTACTGCCTGCCTGAAGTAATGTTGGTCCCAAGTCCTTAGATACACATTGTATCCTTGGCCAGGCAGACCCAATGTTAGAGTTACCTCAGAGATCCAGAAGTTTGGACCCTCGAGAGCTGCCATTTGTTTGGGTTTTGGTTTTGATGTAATTTGTTTATCATCTGAGCATGTCTGACTTGGCAAAACCCAGTTTCTATCTTCATTATTCACGTCTTCTTGAAGTGTCTCACCATGTCATGTTATCTCTAGTTCTTGCACTATTCTTTTAAATTTTGTTTTGCTTTTTTACTGAAAAATTGCTTCCAAGAACAACCCTACATCTTTCAATGGTCCAGTTAAGGACCTACTTGAACAATTCTCTGATAGTTATTCTCCAATAGTTGCACCCAGCCATCACACCTGACCATGATACTTCTCAGTTTATAATCTCTCAGGGACTTTCCATCGTCTTTCTGGCATGGACAAGATCTCAGTATCTTACAAGGCCAATGTGCTTTTCCAGTTTCTTCAATCTCATTTACCATATTGCTTTTCATCTATAGTATGACTTCCCACAGGTCCATGTAATTTCAAATGTGGTGGTCATCCTCCGACCTTTCCTCCTGGATTTGTATTTGTCTATTCTCAGCCCACAGGTTGCCTTTTATTGAAAGCTTTTCTTGACTCCTCCTCCTCCTCCTCATTAGGCCATTTTCAAGACTCTATGAACATGTTTCACCATAAAACTATTATTGTGCTCTGTTATGCTTATTTTTTGTGTGTTATATACCCCATTAGACTGCTCCAGGAAAGGAGCCACATCCTATCTCAGCACATAATACCATGCCCAGTGAGCAAAAGATCCTCAGGAAGCTTACTGAATGAGTGAGTCTTGGTTAACAAATGAACAAAAGATTCAGACTTCAACCACCGTTTGCTCTATTTGTCCCACTTGTGGACACTCTCTTTACCTGAATGTGTAAGTCTTGGTGATTCCGCAGGGCAGTATCTTCCCATGAGGAATCAAGGGAGCTGTGATCTGCAGACCAGCACCTTCCAGGATCACATCATGAGCAGATGAGTGTCTGCCTCCCCTGTCCACACGGTAGTCAAAAGACAGGTTTTGTCCATAGCTCACTTGCTGGTTCCCAAGGAATTTGGCTATGAAACAGAATTGTTAAAAAGATCACTTGTGAAGCTAGAAAGGCAAACACATGCAAGTTTGCTGTTTCTGTTGGAATCTTATGTTACCCACCACCCCACTGCCCTCAACCACCCCATCAGAAGCATCGGTGCACAGTACTGGGCAGGGCTACACCGTTTTGGCTGTGAAGCAGAGTTAGTGACTGCAGTGCTAAATTGGCCTCATTGTAGGACAGATCCATCTGCTACATGGGCCACAGCATGGTCCTTATGCTGATATATAAAGATTCCAGAATGCTTTCACAAACACCATCACATTTGATGGCAATAATTCTTGAAGGTGGGCATTTCCACTCCCATTTAATTGTTGAGATATCTGAAATTCAGGGGTTAAAGAGCAACTTGCTAAGGATATCAGCTAGGATTAGAATCCTACCTAGAGCTTTTCTAGCCAGACACATATCACTGATATGTATATATATTATTCATACATGTTTAAAGCTTTAAGAATACTTTGCTTTTGCTTTTACATGTGCTTCTCATGTAGATCCACATAATTCACTGTAGTTTTTGGTTTCTTGACTCAGTGGAAACCTAGAAACTTCCCATTTAATTAAAGTAGGAACTCCAGCCACAGTCTGATCCCCAGGACATCCCTTTCCGTCCTACAGTGCCATCTTGCTTGGACCTCAGCTGACTCCTGGGGAGACTGCGGTCCTGACACCAAGGTGTGTGGATTCACATTTTCTAACTCAGTTTTCCCCTCCTGACTTTCTAATCTTACAAAGCGATTTCTATAAGAAAAATATCCCTCATGTACCAGGAGCCACAAAAAAGACAGGGTCTCTTCGGGCTGAGGTGTACACATCCCGGTGACGCTGTGACCAATGGAGCTTTGCAGAAGACCCGTTTCTTTGGACAGCCTTCCAGCCATCAGCATCTGGAACACAGATAAAACCGCTCTGCGTCAGAGACAAAGCTTCATGGAGCTAAACGAGGCCAGGATTGTGTGCCAAGAAGGCGCAGTGGGAGTCGAAAGGGGGCTTTCTGAGTTTGCACATTCTCTTACAGCACCCACAATTCCCCACGTGCTTCTCGACACAGGTCTCACCCCCACCCCGCTCCCCACCCACAGCTTCTTTCACTTATCATCTTTGGGTTTGACTCTTGTGGTGAGGGAGTGTGTTTTCATCTGCTTGCAACTTGGATTTTTGTTATATTTGCATAAATGAGGCCAGACCTTAGTGAGGTGAATGGCCCCAATATATTCAAACAGAAACTCATACTGATTGAAATAAGATCAATGCCCAATATTTTTACATTGCTCTGTAGCTTGGTAACTAATTTCAGATACATTAACTTATTTAATATATGTACAAGCAATGTTACTAGTAGACATACTCGTCTACTAGTGTTCCCAGGGGAACACTCATAAACCCACCCAATCCAAATGAATCATTCTTTTGTATTTTCAAATGTAATTTTTTTGTGTGTGTATTTGTTTGCTTCTTGCTAGGAGGTAAACTGGGAGCATTGTGCATGTTGTGTCTCCTGCCTTTATTTAAAACTTGATTTTGAGGGGCTGGGGACTTAGCTCAGCAGCATAAGCACCTGCCTTGCAGGCGTGGAATCTTGAGTTCTATCCCTGGTACAAAAAACCCAAAAAAACAAACTTGATTTTGAGATGGACTCCTGCTAAGTTGTCCAGGCTGTGCTTGAACTTGTGATTCTTCTGAGTCACTTCCCAAGAAGCGAGGATTACATGTATGTGTCACTACCTCTGGCTCTTTAGTATTTTCTGTTTTTTTGTTTTCTTCTAGTACTGGGATTGACTCCAGGGCCTTACACAAACTCTTTCTCTTGTGGCTTTGGAAGAGACTGGGGAAGTAAGTTCAGGGAGATAAAAAGTTAGCCTCTTTTCAGTTATTTAAAGTCAATTGGTCAGCTATAACTTTTTCAAGACATCAGGGTGTCACTCAAGATATGGATGGTGGGGCTGGGGATTTAGCTCAGCGGCATAAGCGCCTTCCTTGCAAGTGTTGTGCGGTCGTGAGTTCAATCCCTGGTACTAATAAAAAAGGAAAAGACCAAAAAAAAAAAAAAAAAAAAGATGTGGATGGTACGGGAAGGGAGATGGAAAGGGAACAGGAGATGAAAAAAAGGGAATTAAAATGTATTATGTGCATATACCAATTCCTCAGGAAGAATGTAGCACTACAAACGTGTACTAATTTTTCTTTAAAAATCAAAGGATAAAACCACCACAGGAGTATTGCAGAAGGTGACTCGGGCGCTCATCGTGTCGATGAGAAGGTGGTTACAAGTGTGAGGCCCTCCCCACACACAATAAAACCGCAGCCGTAGAGACTGGAACACTGTACCTTGCTGGAAGGTAGATGTGATCTTATGGACGCTGTAGTCTGTGGAGCCATGGCAGCTGGCTGAATGGCCGTAGCAAAAGCACTGGGTACAGCCCTCAGGATTTCCCGCATCCAGATGATAGTACCCTGCCCGACACCTGCAGCAACGTTTTAGACACTGAGGTAACACTACTAGTTATTCCTTCTTCCACACAGAGAAAACAATGGCTGACTCGGCCTCTTTTTCTTTTCTCCCGGACTCAGTCCTACTAGTTTCCTGAGGAGGGAAAGGCACGTTTCATACACCACCTGCACCGCTGTCCACCTCATGGACAATCACAGCCCTGCCAGTGACAGCCGTGCGAAAAGCTCATCATCTGATCCTTGGGGAAGCAGAACACACTCACCTTGGTGGCCTGGACAGTCAGTGAGGGCCCACCCTTGGCAATGGATGGAGGTCACTGGGTGGGACAGCAAGCGGTGGGCCAAAGATGCAGAGCAGCCCCAATCTGGAGTAAGGGCTTATTGAAAAGTGGGGTCCAGGAAAGGCAAAGCCCCTGTCTGAACGCCTCAGCTGACTCATAGGCCTGTTAGGTGTCAGTCACCTTCCCTGCCCCTCATAGCTGGCTCTGGCCCTGGGAGAACAGGCAGGAAAGGAGTGCCAGAGACACTCCACGGCAGCACGATGCACCTCTGCTCCCCACACAGTTCTGCCAGAAGCTTCTCAGAGGAGTGATGTGAGGAAAGTCTTAGCAGCGGGGACAGCAAGGAAGAGGGCGAGGATAGCTCAGAAGGATTGGTTTTATCTCTGTCCAAGTTAATTACCTCTTTGCACATGAAATAGTGATAGTTTTGATGATAACTTACTTAACACTTAATTTGTGCCAGGCACATGGCCCAAATTATAACATGAGATGGGAATTATTATTTCCAGTTTGCCTAGACGAGGAGACCCGTGAGGTTAAGAAACACGTCTGTGGTTATGTTGGCAAGTGTTAAGGAAAGACTCATATGCACCCCATACTCTACTCCAAATCATGCAGTCTAAGCCACTGGACCATCAAATACCGGGATGTGTTCGTTGGCCAGCAGCACAGAAAAGCAGGCTTTTAAAAAGCATTGGTTTTCTAACGTGTTAAAAACATTATGGTTCTATAGAGAGGAAGCCTGCAGATGGAAAGAGAGTTTAAGACAGGGAAAGAAGGAAAGGGAAGATGGATGAAGGGATGGAGCAGGGAGGAAAGGATAATAGATGAGAAAAAACAAAACAAACCCAAATGGCAGCATCTCAGAAGGCACCAGAACAGTAGTGGTGGACCCCAGCACACATGCCACAGCAGACTGTATCATCGAAAGCTCTAAAAAGTTCGCCATCACCAAACTAGGATAACAAATCATGAAGCAAAGCAAGGAAGTGATTAATCACCATAAATGCAAGAATCATGGTCACATCTAGGGACCCTGGATGTCACTGGGGTGACAAAAATTACAGAGGTAAGAAGTAGAGATCTACTTCTTATCAATAATAATTGTATTTGTTTAATGTAGCTTTCCATTTCGTATTTTAAAGTGCTCTGGCTTGTAGAAAGTGGCTCTTCTTTCACCATGTCAGCTAGTCCTCCTCACCCTCACCTCCACAGCAGAGAACCCCCTAGAAACACAAGCAAGGAATGTATTTGGCATTTCCTCCGCCCAGGTGGGAGTGATTGGCAGGGTGCCAAAGAACCACTCTCTTACTTTTAAGGAAATGAGGAAGTTTCTACCTCTGGGTCCAACCTCACCGCCCCTCTACTCGCAGCGATCTCAGAGGGAAACAGTTCAGTCCAACCACAGCCTGTCCTCGAGGACTGTCCTGCAGTGACGACTGGGCTGCTTGCTGCTCCAGAGCTCAGCCCGGAGAGCTCTTACATCGTGCCCTGGATCATGTGTGTGCTTGTAGCCACCATCCCATCCCCGAGGCGGCTCTTCTTTAGAGCGCGATGGTTATATATGGCCATAGGCAGCAATCCTCCCTCTTACAAGCATCGTGTAGCCTGTTTAATTAGGCCAGGCGTTTCCCAAGACCAGCCTGAGTCATGTGATCTCATTATTGCATACCACCCTGTACCTGAGCACCTGGATCCCGGGCCAGCTGGCAAGGGGACTCTCCGGGGCCCCGAGCCTCTGTCATAGTACAAGCAAAGTGAAGGAGCCCACAGCAGAATGCGGGGTGCAAGGAGTTTGGGGACTGGGTCACATGTTTTTAAAGTCTGGTTTTGGAAGACACAGAGCAGGAAGGAGGGCCCAGCCATTTGTTCAGGACCCCCTTTCCTTAATGACCCAGAGGATTAATTCTTATGCCAGTTGCCAAGGCCCTCTCTTGCCATCTGTAGGGATGTGGTTCATGTACCTGTCACAGCGCTCTCCGGTGACAGCCGGTTTACACACACAGCGGCCAGAGTCGCAGGGCCCCGCAATGCCAGCTGGGTCACAATCACACTTGAAGTCTCTGGGAGAGAGAAAAAAAAAAAAAAGAAAATTAGGGATGGATTTCCAAATGCTCTGCAGCAGTAAGCACAGACCGACTGCTCATAAGCAAGTATCACCAAGCTGAACAAGGCCTTCTTCCTGTGGCTTCGCCTGTGACACTCGTCAGTCCCGCTGATCTCTCTGCACCCTCAGGACTCAACTGTCTGTGCCAATGCCACTTGCAGAGTGGTCTGTGGGTGGCGGCTGGTCCCTGAACTGTTTGCCATCAGCCCCAACAGGAGGTTTGCCAGAAAGCAAACTAAGTTCATTATTGAACTGTTTAACCTAGTTTGTTTAACTGTTTGGTCAACTTTTTTATTTATGGGGGGTACTGGGAATTGAAATCAGGACATTGCATTTGCCAGGCAGGCACTGTACTGCTGAGCTGTACCCCAGGCACATTTTTAAAGAGATTTTTTTTGTGTGGGTACCGACCATCAAACTCATGACCTCACACATGCCAGACAGGTGCTGCACTTCTGAGCTATATAAGTTGGGTTTTTGTTTGTTTTTTGTTTTTTGTGTATGGTGGGGATCAAACTCATGACCTCGAATTTACCAAACAGGTATTTTCGCCACTGACCTAAACCCCCAGCCCAGTTTTTAAAAAAATATTTATTAGTTTCTGTATTGATTTCTACTTTTATTATAGTTGATTTCATCCACCTGAGATTTTAGTTTGTTCAGTACTTTCTTGCAGTGACACCTCTACTGAAATATAATTCATAAGCTATGGGAGTCACTCATGTAAAGCAAACACTTCAATGGTTTTTAGTCAGTTTGAGTTATACGACCATCACTACAAAGATCAATTTTTGTACACTTCTATTGTGTATATTTTATTTTATTTTGGTACTAGGAATCGAACCCAGGACCTTGAGTTTGCCAGGCAGGTACTGTGCCCCTGAGCTACATCCCCAGCCCCTTAGTCTTATATTCTTTAGTAGTCACCCTACGCCCCACTCCCAGCCCTAGGCAGCCGCTCATCTGCTTTCTGTCTATAAGTTTTCCTATCCTGGACATTGCCTGCTAATAAAATCCTGCCACCTGTGCTCTGCTGTAATTGGCTTCTTTCATTTAGTGTAGTCCTTTCGAGGCTCATCTCTGTCATGCCATGTGTCAGAGTGTGCATTATGAGGACTGAATAAAATTCCACTGCATGAATATGCGTATTTTATGTATCCATTCATCAGATGATAAACATTTTGGTTGTTTTGATTTTTTGCCATAATGTGAACAATGCTTGCATATGAGTTGTACAGATACATACATGTTTGCTTCTCTTGGATACATACACCAGAGTGGGACTGCTGGATTTGGGTGGCTTCTATTTTATTTTACAGCAGGACTCTCAGTGCTTTCATGCGATTCTGGCACCATTTCCCCAACTCATGATCAGCACTGATCTCCGCCACTCATTACGCCATAGTCACTTAACCATCTCGTCTCGTCTAAAACTAAGATCTGCTTCCTTTTCCTTACTGATTTCCTTTCCTTACTCTTTGACTCCATCCAAATCCTGCCCAAGCTGGGAGCCTCTTTAACTCCATCCTCTCCTATGCATTCCCCATCTAATCAGATCCTAGGTCCCCTCAGGCTCACAGTCACGGCCAAAATTCCTTTCCAGTCTCATGGTCTCCTCCCTGTCTTAGGTCTCTCCACACCACATATCTGAACTGGTCAACTGTAGGCTAAGAACCAAAACTACTGAAAGAACTAGAACTTGCCCCTCTCCCCTTGGGTCTCAGGCAAAGCAATGCGTGAACAGCAATGGTAAAGTGCTGCACGGCTTTGTGCCAGGAAGTCTGTTCCAGGGGCCACAGCCACGCATGCATGATTTCTCGGAACAAAGACAAGGAGGCACTGTGGTTGGAGCAGGGGGCCAGCAGAGTGGTGGGAATGGAACAGAGCTGTGTGCGGAGGGCAGCAGACCCTGCAGGGTCCCACAGGCCTCCTGGGTGGGAAGGGGCGCTCATGGAGCTATGTGATCTACTTTGGTCTACTCTGCATTTTAAAATGGTTGCAAAGGGGAGTTGCTGGAGGTGTAGCTTCAGGGTACACACTTGCCTAGCATGTCCAAGGTTCCAGGTTCAATCCCTAGTACCACATAGAAGAAAGAAGCTTGCAAAAAATGAAGGTTGGGCTCAAGGAAAGTTCTCTGGCAAGGCACAGACAGTCTAGAAAAAGAACAATCTATGCAATGGTCCAAAGATAAGAGAGCTTGAGACAAGAATACAAGACTAAGAGAGTGCAAATCGGACCAGCGGCAGTGCCCACTGGGTGAGAGGCTGAAAATGTGGGCATGTAGAACCAGGCCCATGTCACCTTTATTTTCTTTCCTTGAATTCACAGCTAAAAGTCACCCAATTTTAAAGAACGCTGCGTGTGGGGAGGGAATTAACATTTCCCTTCATTTCAAAGGGTAGGCAGGGCTACTCAGAAGTAACCCTAAGGAATGACATTCTCATCCCCTAGGGTTAGTGTGAGGATTAAATTAGATGACGCAGGTGAAGTTCTCGGGGCAGTGTGCGGCACACCATGGGTACTTAGTAAGGGAGAGGGCTTGCCGGTGCTAATGTAATTGTCATCATCCCATTAGTGACTGCAGTGGGGCTCTGGATGCTCACAGTTGTCTCTGGTCCTGGGTGCACCCAGCATCACCGAGCGTGTGGAAGCCTGGCAGACATCGGTCACACTTGTCTCCTGTCACACCTGGCTTACAGCTGCACCATCCAAAGTTGTCACATAGTGGACTGAGAGAACCTATAACCCACAAGGTGGGGGAGACAAAGAAGAAAATACTTACAAAGGGTGAGAAAGCAGTGTCTATCATGAGAGTTCAATACCCACTAAGTAACATCTACCACCTACCACCCATTGCCTTTAACAATCAGTTCATATCATCTGAGTATGTGTCCACCCAACAGCGAAAGTTTTGACAGCTGAGCATGTCTGCTCCATGGAAAGACATGAACTTACTCATAAAAGCAAGTATCTTTATTTACATATCTGCTCTGATCTTTCTGATTATTATTTATTTATTTTGTCAGTACTGGGGATTGAACCCAGTTGATTTGCATTGAGCTACATCCCAAACCTTTTATTTTCCTTGATTTTTAAATTTTAAGTAAGGATTTCACTGAGTCACTAAGCTGCCTGGGCTGGGCCTGAATTTGTGATCCTTTGACCTCAGCCTCCCAGCAGGGATCACAGGCGTGATCCATCACGCCAGCCCAGTTTAACATGAGGGAGCATGGAGACCACTGTTTTGTAAAAGAAGTCCATCAAGTCTTGAAATGCAAGAAAGAAAATCCCTGAATGAGCACACCCACCTCCTGGGATAGTGATGTTCTCTCTTACCTCTGACAGACAAAAGCCATCTGTCATGGGTCAGTTATTGCATGGTATGATGTTGTAAGAGCACAGAACGCCTCCTAACCAAAAATGCCTCCCTGTGCTGGAGTCTCACTTGCGCAGCATCATCCCCGTGGCTGGCCTGCTTAGGGCCCCGGAGCGCTCCTCTCCCCGTGGCTGGCCTGCTTAGGGCCCCGGAGTGCTCCTCTCCCCGTGGCCGGCCTGCTTAGGGCCCCAGAGTGCTCCTCTCCCCGTGGCCGGCCTGCTTAGGGCCCCGGAGCGCTCCTCTCCCCGTGGCTGGCCTGAGTGCTCCTCTCCCCGTGGCTGGCCTGCTTAGGGCCCCAGAGTGCTCCTCTCCCCGTGGCCGGCCTGCTTAGGGCCCCGGAGCGCTCCTCTCCCCGTGGCTGGCCTGAGTGCTCCTCTCCCCGTGGCTGGCCTGCTTAGGGCCCCGGAGCGCTCCTCTCCCCGTGGCCGGCCTGCTTAGGGCCCCGGAGCGCTCCTCTCCCCGTGGCCGGCCTGCTTAGGGCCCCGGAGCGCTCCTCTCGCCGTGGCCGGCCTGCTTAGGGCCCCGGAGCACTCCTCTCCCCGTGGCTGGCCTGAGTGCTCCTCTCCCCGTGGCCGGCCTGCTTAGGGCCCCGGAGTGCTCCTCTCGCCAATCCATTTGTGCTTTATCTTCTAAGGTTGGGATGTTCACGACTTCTCACTTCGTGCTTTGCTGCCACCCACTGCAAGCCTCTGTCTTCCTTCACCTGGACTCCACCTAAGCTCTCCCCCTGCCACCCCCACTGAAAAGAAGTTCACCCTGGATAGCAGATCCATTTTAGATAGGGGGCTCTCAGTGGAGGTGAGAAGTTTAGAAAGACAACTCTAGGGCAATCTGCATGGGCCGGAACAGCATGCATCACCCCACAGCACAGTGGCCTGGCTTGGGGGAGGCTGAGGGAGAAGAGAAGAGAGGTTCTGTGAGAGTCGCTGTGGATGCAGGATACACAGACCAGGGGACGCTCTTGCGTCACAGATGATGATGGGGAGAAGATCAGCTGGGGATGCCTAGAACCCTAGGGTGTGCAACTAGCTATGATTCTATGGCAAAGGAGGGACAGAAGCTCAGGATGAATCATTGAGAAAAGACAAAGACTCGCTAACATCATATCCCGCTGGAAATGTTCACCTGGAGGACAAGAAAGAGACTGGAGTGGAAAGATAGGAGCCCCCAGCCCCCTGGCTGAACAGAAAGTACAGGGAGTGTGAGATCACTCCAGGAGCAGGCAGAGAGCAGTGAGCACAGGTCATGGACAGGAGAGGAGGCTCGTGTATTGTGGGAGGCGGTGACCAGAGAGGAAGAAGTCAGGACAGAGTCCAGCTGAAATGGGAAGGATGAGAAATTGTAGGGTTTGCATTTGAAGATGGCTCCACTCCATAAACAGAGTCTCCTCCTCCTCCTCCTCCTCCTCCTCCCTCCTCCTCCTCCTCCTCCTCCTCCTCCCCCCCTTCTCTCCCCCCCCCTTCTTCTTCTTCAATAGGGTTTCACTACATAGTTCAGGCTAGACTTGAATTCACTTTGTAACCCCACTCTCTCAAACTCTCAGTGATCCTTCTGACTCAGCCTCCTAAGAGCTAGGATTACAGATATGTACCACCCTGTCCAGTGAGAAAATTAATTATATAAACGAAGTATAAAATTTGGTCTCTGATGCACATTTTCCCATTCAAATTAATGGCAATTATGCTTTCAGGGTCTTTCTTTCTTTCTTTCTTTCTTTCTTTCTTTCTTTCTTTCTTTCTTCTTTCTTTCTTCTTTTAAAATCTCTCTTCAGTGGTTTTCAAGCCTGAATTGTTCTTATAAAATGCAAAAGACTGAACTTTGTTCTGGGTTTGGAGCAAATAGCCCCAAATGGGGCTTTCATCCCATGAAAATAAATACTCTGTGTTCAAAAGGGTTTGAGAAATGGTCACACTAAATCTTTCAGAAATTTATAACATTAATATTACATTCAGTGGGAAAAAAGCTTATTTAAAACACTAGTGTTCCTAAACATTGTTTGACGCTCTAAGGCAATAACTAATGCTATCTTGAGGAACACAATGTCCTATAGTATATGAAAATGCTTTGGAAAAGTGTAAAGCCTAAGTCAGATCTTTGGAAATAATATATGCACAAACTTTTTCATGGGCACCTCACTGTCTTCCTTTGAGAGAAAAGAGCAGCATTCTTTACGTGTGTGTGTGTGTGTGTGTGTGTGTGTGTGTGTGTGTGTGACAGAGAGAGAGAGAGAGAAAGAGAGAGAGAGAGAGAGAGAGAGAGAGAGAGAGAGAGAGAATGTGTGTGTGTTACTAGCAAGTGACCTCAGGGGTGCCTTACCACTGAATTATAGCCCCAGATCTTTCTTCTATTTTGAGACATGCTCTCACTGAGTTACTCAGGCTGGTCTAGAATATGTAAAATCCTGCTTCAGCCTTCTGAGTAGCTGGATTACAGGCAGGCACCACCGTGCTCGGCCCTACAGGGCAGCATTCTTATTGTTTTCCTCTTCTGTGGTGGAACAAGAAGTAACTGTTTCAGGCAGAGACCTGGGTTATAATTTTAGTTCTGGTGGTCACCTTCAGGCCATCGGTGTTTCCCCACTGTTGAAAAATATTATAAAATATTCACTGCCAACTAGAGAATGTTAAAAAGTAAAATGCTAACTAGTTTTAGACTAAATGTATGGCCTCTACAAGACTTCCTTCTTACTGGAAAATAATTTAAAAAGCGACCTTGCCCTCCATCTTACTAAGAACGATTTGCATAGTTGTCTACCACATGCTTCACAAACTTCATTTCATCCATGCAAGACACTGTGACGTAAACGTCCTCATCACCCTTCTAGTTGAGGACACTGGAAGAGGTTAGGGAACGTGCGACCCAGTCCCAGTGTTGGTTGCAAGATGTGAACTTGGGCTGTTGGGCTCCAAGCCTGACTCTTCTCTTCCGCACGACGATCTTTGATGTCAGCAGACCTCACCTTTGCCAACCCTTGCTCTGCTCCTGCGCTCTACAACCTTGAACAGATTTCTCTGTCTCTGTATGTAAACTCCTCATTTGTAAAATGAAAAAGAATAATAAAATGATTTGTGCTGGTTAATTAACAGATGCACGAAAATTCAGCACCTGACATGTTAGCTGGCACATGGAATCTAAGTCAGCATGGACTCCACTACTTCCTGCTGGGCTCCTCGTCCTGAGTTTTGGAGGCCAAATGTCCATAGAGAAAGAAAGACCCGGGCTCCCACTGCCAAGTAAGCAGGGGATGGCGGTACACTGAGAAAGAGGAGATGGCAAATCCTTCTCCGCCTTCTTGGTTTTTGCTCGGCAGCAAATTCCTCGTCTCCTCTGGAATTATAACCTTGTCTTCAGGCCAAGCTTTCTCATGGAGCCAACCACGTCTCTAATTACAAAGATTGCTGGGTGACCCAACTCCGGTGATTCATGGTGAAGCTGCACATTGGAGGGGATCTGGGCTCCTCAGAGAAGTTAAATACCCATTAAAATGGATTAACTTTTCTTCTAATTTTCTTCATCAAGTTTTTTGAGTGCTGGGAGAACTGCTAAATCCAAAAGATACTGGATACAGATGCCATACCATGAAATTAAGCAAATCTAACCCAAAACACATTATAACAGACACATAATGCATTGGGGACTGCCCGCTGCGTACAGGTCCATATCTCTACAGGATACTCCAGTTTTCTACAAGGCTCCTGCCACACTTTGCAGCAACTCAGCTCAGCTGCATCAAAATCTGCTCATGTTTCGATTCTCTCAGCTATAACTACAAATTGCCTCCACAGAGCTGCCCTGAGCCCTGGCGGGCATTAAGGCTATACCCATTAAATGGATTAGAATTTATCATATTATGCTGTTGAACACTTTCTGGCAAAGAGGAAAGTAGATAATGCCAAGAAATATAATAGACAAAGAAGTCTCAACTCATTTACAGAACTGCCTGCCTCTGCCTGCTATGTTTACCAACGTGCCTTGACTGTCTGCCCGAGACACAACGCTTACATCCACCAACACAACGAACACCTGCAGTTCTGTGACGAGGGCCCTGGGCAGGGCACAAAAAACAACTGGGGTTTCTGTGAGCCTGCTGCTCCTGAGGTGCTTTCTGCTGGTTATTCTCTTCTTTGCTCATACTCTGTGAAAGGTTCTAATCCTTCTCTCTCTCTCTCTCTCATCTTCTTATTAGTACCACTTCACATTGCCAGCATCTATTACAGCGCCAGAGACAGATCTTTGAAATCCCTGTTTACCAACAGGTTGGTCAAAGGGAAGGTTATGGATATGAGGAAATAGACACGGGAGGAAGCAACTTCCTTTGCCTCTACCTTGAAAAAAATCAATCGCAGGACTCCACAACGACCCCAGCTGCTTCCACCAATCCTGAGGTCAGAGACGCACATTCTTTCAGTGAAATTGTTGCAAGGGCCAATGATGGTGGGGTGTCAATTGTCCCTGGAGCTGAATACCTCCCTCTTGGCTGCTTGTTCCCCACCCTTCTCTTTTCTCTCCCTCCATCCTTTCCTTCCTCGTTCCTTCTTGCTCTCCCTTCTCACCCCTCCCACCCTGTCAGCTACCTTTGGAGTGACAGTTGCAGGGCAGGCAGCTGTCTCTGTCCGGGCGCCGGTAGAAGCCCTCCCTGCATCTCTCGCAGTGCAGGCCATCAGTGTTGTCCTTGCAGTTGAGGCACCGGAACCCATTGCCTGTCCGCCAGTGAAGCTCCTGGTCAAAGATGCATTGCTGGGACTTCCCATTGCAGTCACAGACTAGGGAGAGAGGAAGAGAAGACGCCTTCAGAATAAACCCAGTAGAAACGTCCCCGGAGGTGATTTAATTATCATGAATATTAGTATAAGTGGTGTATGTGTCCCAAATGTTAGTTTAAACTGCTTGTGGATAACTGAAAGGATGCAAAGAGGTCCAATGGGGACCGCAAGGACTTTGTTCCACCTAGAGAAACAGTTATTCTACAGAGCTGGTGGGTTGATGAGTTCAGTGTTGCCAACTATCCAATTCCTTAAGAGAAACAAGTATCTTAAATAATTTGTTATGTGAAAATTTATGAGTTAAATATCTGCAAGGAATTCATTTGAAAATACAGGACAAAGTAACAGAACGAGTCTAGGGGCTGGGAGAAGACCTGAGGACCACCGGCCACGAGCACTGGCCTCTCCATCACGACTGACAGTGTCTGCTGTTCAGGGCACACAGTACCCACCCCTCCAGGGACCTCTGGCCCAAGGAGCTAAGGAGACTCAGTGAGCATCTGTTCCTCTCCTCACTTGTGCCCTGAATGTTCCCCTCAAAGCCAGGAGCCAAAGAGAACCATGACCTGATGTCAAGGTCCCATGAAGAGTGACCTTCCCTCATCCTTCAAATGTTCCAAGGGTACTTGTGGGGTAACTAACGACTCCATGAGGTATATGAACAGCCAGTGAAACAGCAAACAAATGGAAATACTCCACACAGCACTTGGCACGTAGGAGACGCTCAAAAACTTTCAGCCACAGTTTAGAAGACAAAGGTGATGGGCGCTGAGGTGAAGAGAATGAGGCCAATGCTGCTTGCTCTTCCCTTGGGCAAGGTACCTTGATTTTCTGGATCTTTCTTCTCCAATCCCCATTTCCTCTCCCCAACGCCTGCCTCTCCACCTCTTGCTTCCCTGGGTTGTTAATAGGGTCTCAATGAGAAAAGAATACCCAGTCATTGCATGTGCTACCCTGGCCCTCACTCATGGGAGATACATGTCAGTTGGAGAGGGGAAAAAAGAAGCCAGGAAGGTTAACTTGACCTGCTGAAGGCCTGGCTTTGAACCTCCAGAGACCATGCAACCAACCACACATAACCCGCTTCCAGAGTGACCAGAGGGCTGATGGCACAATCAGCAAGTGCTGAGCAGTGGCCCTGTGCAGGCCTGCACCACATGATGAAGAAACAAAGGGGAGGAAGCAAAGCTTGTGAACACCCGAGGCACTGCGTCAGAGTGATCTCTGCTGATTTGGAGGCCACCAACTCCAAGGGAAGTTGGTAAGATCTGTGCAGAGCCCACTTGGATTCTGGGGCTTCACACTTACCAGCTCAGTTACTTCTCACAACAATGTTTTAACATCAGTGTATTAAGAGCTGGGGATTTATCTCATCTGCACAAGTGCCTGCCCAGGAAGCATGAGGTTGTGAGTTCAATCCCCACTCAAAAAAAATCAGTGTATTTATCCTCTCTTAAAGGATGGAAAATGAATACTTAGAGAGAGTAGGTACCTTCCCCCACATAACTTCACATAACTGAATGGCAAAGATATAATTTGCTCTAAGGTCTGTCTGACTCCAAAGCCTTCATCTTTCTATCGTTCCCTACTTCTCAAGTATCTGGTTTAGAAATGCATGTAGGTATTTTTTTAATAAATCTTTAATGCAGGCTCCTGTAGCGTTTCCTTGAGTCCTTCCTAATGTAGCAGAATGTGCTGCTCCTCCTCAGATAGCACTGTGTAGCAAATCGTTGGTGTTTGTTTGTTTGTTTTTGGTGCCAGGAATCGAACTCATGCCCCCACACTTGCCACACAGGTGCTGTGCTACTGAGCTACATCCTCAGCCCGAAAATTCTTTTAATGGAATTTTAAATCTACATCAATCCTTGTGCTTTACACACACACACACACACACACACACACACACACACACACACACACATAACCTGTTTTCATTCATTTATTTATCCAACAGATGTAAACTTCAGATGTTTTACCAGACCTCACATCAACAAATCCTCTGAACATCTGCGGACAGCCCCAGTATCCCTCTGCTTAGTTTCCTCCTCTTCGGGTTAAACTGGAGACCTGACACTTCCAGTCTTTCAATCATTTCTTATGCCATGATTTCTAGATTCTTTTCGACCACCCTCAGCAATCTATTCTAATTTTCAATACCTGTGTTAGTACACTACTTAAAGTATATTTTGAACAGCTCTGTGTGTAACAGGACTAGATATTTTTATTCCACGGATAAAGACTAATGTTTCACTAAACTCACAGCATATTAAGCTTGTACTCAATTCAAATTACCAGGGATTTTTCACAGAGCTAACACCAAGCTAAATCTTTATCAAATAATGCTTGTGAAACTGATTTTTTTGGATCACCAACAGATGTACCGCACAGCTGCCATGCACCATGAAATGTCGGCTGAGTTCAAAATTATGCCCATGACAAGATCTAAATCCCCCAACCAACAGTCCTTGTGAGATTCCTCAGCTGAGTCCCCCAGTGAACCAGGGTCACCCTGCCCTGATATCTGTTAGGAGCAGCCTCCAAGTCCAGCATGGGCAACTTAGTTACACAGTGAGACCATTTCTCAAAATAAAAATTTTTTAAAATTTAAAAGGGCAGGAATTGTAGTTCAGTGTAAAAGGTCCTGGCTTCAGTCCCCAGCATCACAAAACTAATTAATTAATCAGTTAATTAATTAAGCCATCATTGATATATTTGAAATATTTCTCCCTCAAGTTATCTCCCAAATTTATACTAACTTCCTTAAAACCAATTACTATTTATTTTCAAAAGTGAGTAAGGACAAATTTTTACACGTTAAGAGAGAGAACAAGGCCACCATCAGGAAGCAAGCCCCATCTGGGAACCAGCATCATGTGCAGACCGCTGTTGGACTGGGGACAGCCAGTTCCCAGGCCCTTCTGACGCATGGGCTGACAAACAAGAAATAAACCCCATCCCCTACCCCACCTCTGTAATCAACTGGCTGATCTGGAGAAACACAGGCTCTGATGATAATTATCGAGGTGAAATACAATTGGATGCCTGTGGTGAGCTAGTGTTTCACTGACTTTGCAGGTCTAGGGCCAGTGGTCTGATCATCAGTTCAAAGGACAGTGGTACACAGTGTGGCATCTGGGGTCGGCGGGGTGGGGGGGAGGTGGAATCTCCTTCTGAGGGTTGCAGCCATTGTTGATTCCCTGTGGTCTTGTTTTGAAGCCCTATATCATTGTCATTGTTTTGTTAGGTTGGGTTTTATTCTCTTTTGTTTGATTACATTAAATCCAATGGTAGGAGCAGCTATTTCAAAAACAGCAAGATATATTATGGTAGCCATTTTGGATTTACTATTGGCTTGTTTTGAAGCCTTTTATTGCATTTATTGCTTTGTTTTTACTGTTTCTATTTTATTCTGTTCTATTTTTACTGTGTTTGAAGGTATCTGCAGCTATTTTGAAGACAACAAAAGGCGTTATGATAACTACTGTTGATTTCATAATGTTTTGAAGTCCTGAATCACTTACACTGGTTTGTTTTGATTGGTTTTATTTTGCTTTATTATCCTTGGTTTTACTCTTTAAAATAAAAAAAACTTTTATATGTTATATTCTAGAATATTCCTGCACTTGTGTTTAATAAAATGGACACAGTACAGATCGCGTACGGTCTTTTTTACTCTGTGAGCACCCTGTCCTGCTCAATGCTACTGGCTGCCAAATGGCACCATCAAGAGAAGAGTAAAGTAGCAGCGAGGGACGGAGACTAAGCCAGAAGTGACGAGCAGGAAGCACTCGCTGCCAGCCATCCACAAGCCACAGGAAGTTGATGCCTACTAGCAGGCATGGTGGCGCATGCCTGTGATCCCAGCTCTTAGGAGGTTGAGGCAGGAAGATTTCCAGGAGTTCAAGGCCAATCTGGGCTACATAGAGAAAAGCTGTCTCAAAAAAAAAAAAATGTTGGCCAAAACTCCATACTTTTTTTTAATGTCGTCAAAGCTCTATACTTAATTCTGTACTTTTATTTTATTTTTTATTTATTTATTTGTTTATTTTGTCTTTTTGAGACAGGGTTTTACTATGCAGTTCAAGCTGGCCTTGAGCTCACTTTGTATGCCAGGCTGGTCTCCAATTGGTAATTGATCCTCCTGCCTCAGCCTCCCAAGTACTGGCATACAGGTGTGCGCCACCACATCCAGCTATTTTATTTTATTTTAAAGAGAAAAAACAATCATATAAAATTTCAAAACAAGGTAATAGGATATTAACAATGGTTAATATTGCATATTGTTATCTTCAGCATAATTGCTCAGATTACAAGGCATAGGGTGCAAAATTGATCAAACAATATAAGCACAAATCATTCTTTTCAATGAACTAAAAAAATTAGTATTTAATTATCTTAGCTACAATATATATACATACGTATATGTAAGAAATAGATACATATTTCTTTTCCCTTCCTTCTTTTCTCTCCCCCCCCCCATTATTTGTATACAGGCAGAAAATACATCCCATGCTTAAGAAAAGAGATATAGACACTTAGAATACAAGTATCTAGTCTGCGGTAACTATTTAGTGGTGTATATGTGTTAGTTTGTAGTACTGGGGATTGAATTTACAGCCTTCACATTGAGCTACCCCCAGTCGTTTTAATGTATTTATTTTAAAATATATCTATTTTTGAGACTGGGTCTTCCTCAGTTGCCCAGGATGGGCTTGAATTTGCAATCCTCCTGCCTCAGCCTCATGGAGAGCTGGGATTGCAGCCATGTGTCATTATACCCAGCTTATTTAAATGTTTCTTTAATATACGAATGAATGAATGTTCTTCTGAACTTTAGGAAACTCATGGATGTGTTTCTACCATTTAAAGCACACCACACATTCCCACATACTCAGACAAGCCTTTAAACTGGCAAACACAAACTATAACAGTCACTCTCTTCCCCCTTACTCGGTGGAACACTGTCCTCTACAGCATCTCAGCTCAAAAAATAGCTTTTG